ATCCTGGAGTGGGTTCCCATGCCCTTCTCCAGGGGATCTTCCCCACCCAAGGACCGAACTGGTGTCTCTTATGTCTCCTACATTGGCAGGTGGGTTGTTTACCACTAATACCACCTGGGACGCCTAATGTTCCTTAAGTAATTCCAATATGTAGTCAAGGGTTAAGGACCTATCTTTGCATTAAATGCCTGCCCTGCAGAGATGTCTTCTTTTGAAAGAATACAATCTTATGAGATATATTACATAGTAATATTTATACACTCTATCATTAATAAAGACTAATGAAACTGGTGAACAGCAGTCAAACTATTTCTAGAATGTGGAGAAATCATGGGAGCTTGAGAGGTGAAGAGGAGGATCATCATACCTGAAAAACTCTGCTGGAGAACATCACACAACCTGGGAAATCAAGACCCTTAGGTTGGAAGGACCCTAAGTGACTAGCTCTCTCACAATCTGCCCAATTTATGCAATTTGTGAGGGTGACTCCAGGACCCTGACCTGAGATCCTGCTCCCCTTTATTCACTAGAGCATGTGAGATATCAGCCTCTGTAGTCATCACCTATGTCTGGAACCTCCCTTCTCACATCTCCCATTCTGCACATCCTTGGGCCTAAGGGGCCCTGGATCCCAGAGGAGTCTGGATCCTGGAAGAACTCATTAAAGAGAAAGCAATTACCTAGGACCTCTCTAGGACAAATGCTTTCAGGGTCCAGGAGCAGTGACTGATTACAATCACTGATCACACCTGACTATACTTTGGGGAAGGTGGGAATGAAGAAAAGCTCATATATGAAAGCTTAATCCCTGCTTATTTAAAGAATGGATAGTAGTCCTGGGGAGCCTACATTTTCAGAAGGGAAAAAAGATGGAGATGCCATAAAAAGCAGGGACCAGAATGCAAATATCCCAAATAGTTTAGGAGTCTAGTAAATCCCAGGGACAGAGGAACCTGGTGGGTTACAGTCCGTGGAATAGCAAAGAGGCAGGCACGACTTAGCGACTAAACCAACAGCAGAAGTTAGGAGTTTAGGCTTTATCCTGTGGACAAAAAGAAGCCAGTGGAATACCACCATGAAACATACTTTGCAAAGATTCCCAGGGTGGCAAAATAAGAAAATACATCAAAAATCTTACTACAAAATTAAGTCTATTTTTTTCCGGAAGCTTCCCAGTGGTCCCAACAACATTTATTGAATAGTCTCTCTTCTCTACTGATTTCAGGTCCCAAGTTTTCTATACACTTGGGTGTATTTTTATACTTTAAATTGTTATACTGTCCTCTCTATTCATGAGTCAGTACCATATTCTGCATGAATAAATATGCCTTCATAATACATATTTTAGTTTTTTAATGTCTGCCATTTCTGACTCTCTTTCCTTCATGTGGTGGAGCCTAATTTCTGTCCTCCTAAAAGTGGTCCATACTTAATGGTCCATTCCAACAAATAGAATGTAGTGAAAGTGATGCTTGGTGACTTCCAAGACTAGCTCATATAAAGGATAACTCCACCTAGTTAACTCGCTGCTGAATTATTCACTCTAGGGGAAGCTAACTGCCATGTCATGAGGACTCTCAAGCAGCCCTTTGGAAGGCCCCCATGGTAAGGTGAATCCTCCTTCCAACAGCAAGAACCCACCTGGCAATTATGTGCATGAGTCACCTTGCAAGTGAATCCTCCTAAGAAACCCAAGCCAGAGCTGCTCAATCAAGCCACTTCATAAATCCTGGTCTACTGAAACTGTGAGAGATAATAAATGCTTGTTGTTTAAAGCTACTAATTTGGTCAATTGGTTATGCAACAATAGATAACTAATACATGTTTAAGGCTTTAAAATATTTGATAAAACTATCCTCTACTATTCTTTTTCAGAGTTTTCCTGACTATTCTCATTTTCTTTTATATATAACCTTTATTATTTATTTGGCTAATGTGCGTGTGTTTGGTTTTGTATACAGAAAGGGAGAGAAAAATTATAGAAGTTACAAATTAATCTTAGAAAAATCAACACCTGGTGGGGTCGAGGGTTTTGATTAGTTGCCGCTGCCGCTGGGGAAGGTAAAGCGGTGACGGCGGCCTCAGGAGCTGTGGGGTCCCCGACTGGAGGTGGGGAACTCGGCAGGGTTTGGGTACCCCTCCTATGCAACATATGGTTCCACAGTCCTCAGCATGTTAATTGAAGCCATGTTGAGCTTCACACAGGCGCCATTGAAGATCTGATGGTGGCAAAGAAGCTGCCACACCTTCTGGACCTTTGGGCTCACACCATTGATACCTCTGACCCTGGTGACAAATGCCAGTTGGATTCCACGGATGGATCCAACAAACTTTTTCCTCAGAAAATTCGACCCAAGGGGGCCCTGACATTCAAAATGGAGACGAAACAACAAGAACCCCGGGAGGAAGAAACTCCAATACGGGCCATGGCGGCTCTAAAGATCCCCAGAAAGCACTACCCTTGGAGACATCAACCCTATGATATCCCCTCTTGGGGACAAATAAAAACCCTCACTAATCAAGTTAAGAATCTGATTTCTCAACCCGAAATGCCTCAGAGTCCTGAAAACCTTATCACTATGCTCCGTTGGCCTGCACGACCCCTCTCAAGCCGGATTAACTAACTTACTTACCCAACTCCCATTTATTTCAGGTCATAAAATGGACGGAGAAAAGACCCAGCGAATCAACCAATGATTCCACCCATATGCCCCCTCCCTGGAACCCACACACCCTGGGGAGGAGGGGCAACTAATTAACATTTCTTTAGGTTATTAAGTCCTTCCTTTGTGTATGGGCCCAGCAAAATTATGCATAAATGTCTGCGGACAAACTTGGGCTTTCGTCCTACCTCCAAAAGAAGACTTGCGGACATTGCTGCCCTTTTTCTGTCTGTGAACCGTGTTTTCTACTAAAACTTGAGGGAAAGAGTTAGGGAATGAACAAAAAAGATTATGTAAAAGGTTACTAACACTACATTGAAACATTACCATGACAAAGGACTTCTTGGCTGGCTTGACAGTGGAATGACACCCTCCTCCTCCATCCTCAATAAACAAATTGGGCCTGAACTATAGGCATATAAAACATATGGAAACTTGCTGCCAGCACCAGAGAACTTGGGACTCGGACCGGACATTTCACAGGGGCCAGTCGTGGTCATAGTAACTATTTCTTGTGCTATAATCAGTCGTACAGGCCTGTGTCCCACTTGCTTTTGTGATAGCCATAAGGAATTTACAATTTAATAAGACTTTATGTGCTGTAACTTGTATTAATTGCCAATTTTGTGTTACTCCTGTTCAGTTCAATCATAGTACCTACAGCTGGGAACAAATCAAATTTCATTTACATGATAATGACTCTCTGAATGTACAATTACTGCAAAAGAAAATCTTTGAAACTTTTTCTAAACATCTGCCCTCTTCCACTAATTTGGAAACTTTAGCTGAACAAATTATCCAGGCTAGACCCACAAGGATGGTTTCAAAGTATTACCCACAGCATCGGATCTAAAACTGTAACTTTGATTTGCATTTCTCTGATAATGAGTGATGTTGAGCATCTTTTCATGTTTGTTAGCCATCTGTATGTCTTCTTTGGAGAAATGTCTGTTTAGTTCTTTGGCCCCTTTTTTGATTGGGTCATTGGAGCCCATTATACAGAGTGAAGTAAGTCAGAAAGATAAAGAACATTACAGCATACTAACATATATATGGAATTTAGAAAGATGGTAATGATAACCCTATATGCAAAACAGAAAAAGAGACACAGATGTACAGAACAGACTTTTGGACTCTGTGGGAGAAGGTGAGGGTGGGATGTTTTGAGAGAACAGCATGTATATTATCTAGGGTGACACAGATCACCAGCCCAGGTGGTATGCATGAGACAAGTGCTCGGGCCTGGTGCACTGGGAAGACCCAGAGGAATCGGGTGGAGAAGGAGGTGGGAGGGGGAATCGGGATGGGGAATACATGTAACTCCATGGCTGATTCATGTCAATGTATGACAAAACCCACTGAAATGTTGTGAAGTAATTAGCCTCCAACTAATAAAAATAAATGAAAAAAAAAAAAACTGCAAAAAAAAAAAAAAAAGAAAAATCAACACCTTTGTCTTTCTATCAAAGAAAATGATTTTGTTTTTCCATTTGTCCAAGTCTTCTTTTGTGTCCTTCATTAGTAGGTATTCTAAAGTTTTGTTCATATTTTTCCACATTTATTACTTAGTATTGGTTAGTCTTAGATATTTTTTACATGGTATCATTATCCAGTTTACACTCTAATGGTTCAGATCATATACATAACATCTACTAATGATTTCTGCATATTAAGTTTTCTATTCCAGTGTCTTACCAAATTATCTCATTTTATAGTAATTCCTCAGTTGATTTTCTTAGCTTTTCCATATATACAATTGTATCATCTACCAATAGCAATATTTATTATTTCTCTTTTATCTCCCAATTATTTCTCTTTTTATCTAACATATTCTATGGGTCCCAGAATATAAATACCATAAATTCAGAGGCTTCTGTTACTTTGTTAACTGCTTTGTTACAAACAAGGACATGAAATAGTGCTTGGCACAGAGTATATGCCCACTAAATATGTGAATTAAATGAACTGCATAGTCTAGCAACTCCAGTATAATGCTCAGTAACAGTACTGACAATGGGCACCTGGTCTTGTTCTTGCCTTCAGTGGGAATGTCTGCCTCAAATGTATTATTTTCTCATATTAAGTTAGTATCTACCTATTCCTATTCTTTTGAGCATTTTTATCTGAAATGGTTTTTTAACTTTAGCAAATGCACCACTTTTATAAAAACAGTAAAATTATTTTTCAAAAATTCTTTCCACATTTAAAAGGATTTAAATATTTTAATTCAACAAGTGAAATACACAAAAACAGTAGCCAAAAAACTATGGAGATGATAATTTAAACAATAACAGAAAAACGCTTACTTTATACTATTTAAACTTCCTTCATCACTACTTAAACTTCATTCATTACACTAGTATAATATCTCATTTCAGCATCTACAATTTTAACAAATGTTTGGAAAGTTTTTTGTTCAGAAGCAGACGCCGGTCTGACAGAAACACATTTAAAAATATTCTTTTTCTGGTCGTAGTTTCCAACACATCTATGAACTCGGCCTCTAATCAATCTGGGAAGTTCACGATCCTGTTTTTCAAAAAATAAATATCAATAAAGTTAATTATTACTTCATTTGAATTTAAATTTTTTTAAACTAATAATATGATCAACTAAATACGAATCACCACAAAATGCTGTAATTCCCTTACGTCATTTAGGGCCCCCCTGCTGATAAGACCATAATAGATAGACATAAATGGATGCCCTGTTACAGAAGAAAGACCTTCATTTGGGTAGGGCTTCTTACAAGCAAGTGAGCTGCTGTTTCTTAAAAGACAGAATAATTCCCAATATAACAGCACATGAATACTCACTTCTATTAGACTGCCAGAGTTCCCCTTTCAGTAGATGGCAGACTAGCTAGTTCAGACCAACTTTCCCACTGAAACCAATCAGAATAGCTGGATGGAATAATTATTTTAAAATATCCTCACAGACATCAGAGAGATACCAACGGCAGTAAGGAACTGCAGAAACCCTAACTGGGGGGAGGACAGAAGTCCAGAATGGGGCCTGATATCTGGGGATACCTTCCCCCTCTGAGGTAACTGCTGATCACAATCAAGGCAGTTTAAGAGTCTAATAAACTGAACAGAGCTTCTATAGGCTTAGAGGGCAAGGGGAAAAAAATGGAGTCCAAGGTTCCCCAAAGAAAAGAGATTCTGGTATCCATACCACCCCTACCCCAGGCTTAGGGTTGGGAGATTCAAAAGAGCTATGTCCATAGAACTCATAAGCCAGGAAAAGACAAGCCAGCTCCAAAACCTCTCAGTCAAACCACAGAGTATGAGAAGATTTGCAATATATATAATAGACAAAGAACTTGCACTCAGAATAGATTTTTCAAAACTCCTATAAATCAATAGACAAATAATTTAATAGAAAAAATTATAAGAGACATGAACAGACTTGTCAGAAGAAGGTATCTCACTGGCCAGTAAACATCAAAAGTGCTGAACCTCAATTAGTCATCAGGGAATTGGAGAGAAATGAGATAGTACCCAAGGAGAGAGAGGTCTGGAATATTCAAGGAGGAAGAAAGGACAAACTTTTTTACTTTTTTCCTCTACATTCCTTAAGATTATACAACAATAATGTATCCTGCCTGAGGACAGTCTTTGGATTAAACCTTCTGGCTAATTCTGTTATTTTAAAGCATAAATTATGGGAGTAGGTCTGGTCTTTACAAGGATGTATCCTGCCTGAGGACAGTCTTTGGATTAAACCTTCTGGCCAACTCTGTTATCTTAAAATGTAAATTATGGGAGTAGGTCTGGTGAGGTCTTTACAACCTCCAGACATTCTTTGGATTCATTGGAGAGTATATAACTCCATTGCTAACACTAGCAAGGGGGTACTCTTTCTACCCTCTTCTGATGTCTATGTCAGACGCTTTCTCTATCTCCTTTATACTTTAATAAAACTTTATTGCACACACACAAAAAGAAATGAGATAGCACTAAACTGACCCACTGGAATGGCTAAATTAAAAAAGACTGACAGTACTAAATGTTGATAAGAATGAAGAAAAACTACAACTCTCCTATGCTGATTGAGTTCATAAACTCTTATAACCCTATGGAAATTTCTTTGGCAATAACTCCATGTAGAACATACACAGGCACTACAATTCAGCAATTTTATTTCTAGGTATATACACAATAGAAAGGCATGCATGTGCACAACAAGAATGTTCACAGAGTATTATTCATAATAACAAAAAAACTGGAAACCACCAAGACATCCAGGAACAGTAGAGTAGAAAATCAAATTGTGCTATATTCATATCACATAGACACATAAATAAATGAACTTTAGCTACATGCAACAACATAGATGAATCTTACAACATTTCACTGAGTGAAAGAGATCAGACATAAAATCAGACATATCATATGATACTATTTACAGAAAGTTCAAAAACAGGCAGAATTAACTTCTATTAAATGTCACAATAGTGGTTACTTTAATGCAGAAAACAGAGGTAGTGAATGAGAACAGGCACAAGGATAGATAGGGTGAAAGCAATGTTCTATTTCTTAACCTTAGTTATGTTCACTTCTGTGGTAACTTCATAGAATTGGACAGCTTTTCTGTATATGATATACTTGAATAAAAATCTTTTAAAATTTAGACTAGAGAAAAATAATAAGCATCTAAGATTCCAAAAATAATATGCAATTACTATTTCTTGTCATCTGCTATGTGCTAGATGCTATGCATTCAGATATTCTATAACCTAATATCCAAAGCAATCTTTCAAAGTGGTAATTAGTCTCAATTTACTGATTAGAAAACTAATGCACAGGAAGTTTAAGCAGCTCACTCAAGGTCATAAAGCTAGTGAATGGTGGGGTACAAACTGGAATCCAAGTGAGATTTCAGAATTAAGCTCAATTTCAGATTTAATACCAAACTCTTTTACAAAGTATGTAAGTCTTATAAGGTTTCCATTCTCCTTTGTTACCAAGCCTCTTCCCTATATCCCAGCCTACTGTTCCTGCCTTCCCCCAGGTTCAAATACCCTTACCCTGTCACTTACTAACTGCATACTCTGGTAACTGTAAACTGTTTGCAGTTTCCTGAACAATCTAGGCTCTATCAGTGCTTCATGTCTTTACAGGAGCTGCTCCCTCAGTTTAGAATGTATTCCTCTCACCTCTTCCCCTAATTTCCAACACTTTGGCTTAATTTATTAGATCTTATATATCTAAGGTCGGATAGGTTACTACATTCTTCAAAAAGCTTCCCCTGATCTGACCTATCCTATCTACTTCTATAGAATCGTGCACACATCTCTGTCATACCACTTATTATATACAGTGTAACATTTATGTATCTGTCCCTCTACCTGAGATTATAAACTCTTTGAGAGAAAGGGCCAGTTACCACTTAAATTCCACTTGAATCCTCTGCATCTAGCATAGCCCCTGTAACATAGTAAGCTCTTCACATCAGTTGAGCAAATAAGCAATTTTAACATCAGAATTTAACCAAACAAAATGTCAAAAGTACTACTAGTAAACAGAATTTCTGCTACAGTGGAATTATAGCCTGCATTTCTAAGTTTTATTGGCATAGGCTTTGCAAAGAATACTTAAAACAAATACTCACTATTTCATAAAATACACATGGCAGAGTATGTTTCCCATCTCTCATAAGAAAAGTCTTTGAACAGTATCGGCCAGGTGTAACAGCTGAATCGAGAACAGCTAAGCAACATTGAAATAAGAGGGGGGATAAATCAGTGCTGGTAAAATGCAAATAAAATTTAACAACAAGAAGTTGATATTTAAATAACTATTCCCATACCAATCTCTCATAGCTTTACTGATACAATAATAAGAAAGCATTTTAAAAGGGAAAGATATTCTGAAACCATTTCATTCTAAGGAAAACAAAATTTCTGGCCCTCTCCAACTTGGGAACTGATTATATAACAAAATTTATATAACTGACAATAACTTGCCATCTGAAACTTTCTTGTTTTTTTTTTTTGTTTTGTTTGTTTGTTTTTATCTTTCTATTTTTTGGCCACGCTGTGTAGCATGCGGGATCCTAGTTCCTTGACCAGGGATCAAACCTGTGCCCGTACAGCAGAAGAACTGTGTCTTAACCCTGGACCACCAGGAAGTCCCTGAAGTTTTGTGAATGTGTTTGATGCAGTGGTTAAATCCTCAGACCAATCTACTACATACTACACACTGAAGTGTGTGTGTGAGTTGCTCAGTCATGTCCAACTCTTTGCGACCCCACAGACTGTAGCCCGCTAGGCTCCTCTGTCCATGGAATTCTCCAGGCAAGAATACTGGAGTGGATTGCCATTTCCTTCTCCAGGGCATATTTCCAATCCAGGGATTGAACCCAGGTCTCCTGCACTGCAGGCAGATTCTTTACTATCTGAGTCACCAGAGAAGTCCACATACTAAATACACACGTGTAACAAATAAACATCGTGAATTAATGAAGAAAAAACACTGAATCAGAATCAGAAGTCATGCAATTGAGTCTCAGTTCTTCAACTTACTCAACTGTAAAAACTTTAACCTCTTCCAAATTTGTTTCATCTATAAAATTCAAATGACAATTCAAGCTTAATCTTAAGAAATCACTATCAAACGAGACCACTATTTATTCCTTTAATAGCCATCTATTAGGTACTGATAGTAAATACTTCTTGTTTTGAGGTCAGTCTCCATTTCCCCTAATAATATCCGGATTTTCCTTTAGGAAATTTCCCCTATGCCGTTCTTAGCTGTATGATTTGGATTGGATGTGTCCCCACCCCCAGACCCAGGAGTGACCTGAGATTAATGTAAGCCAGTCGGTGTATCCCCTTCCCCAGGCACAGAGTTCAGAGTGACAGTGAGCGCCTTGCTGCCCATCAGAAACATTAATATGCAAACGGTCATTTGCTAGTTTCTGTAAAAGAGCAACCAGAAGAAACTATCAAAGAATGTGACGATGTGGTGTAAAGAATGTATGGTATAGAGAACTTTGATAATCCTCTTAATATCATAAGGGAAGAGTCAGAAGCTGCTGGAAAGACCATATTGGAGCCTCAGAATGAAGCTAACACTGTGACAGGACAGAAAGATGGTTAAATCTCAAAAACATAATGCCAGATGAAAATGTAAACTCTACAGTATAAAACACAAAACAACAGTAAATACATACATATAAATTTATGAAATCAGATGTACAGAGCAAAATTATAAAAGTATGGAAAGGAAAGATACCACAGTGACTGTCTCTAGAGAAGAATAAAAACAGATGGGGTGTTCAAAGGTATCTATAAGATAGATATGTGGATATTTACTATAGTCTCTGAACTTTTCTGTATGCTTAAACTATTTCATAATTTAAATTAAATTGAATATTTAAACTATGGAAAGAAATGTTTTGAATCTCTACTTGTTATCTCTTTATTCTAAGTAAAATTAAATTCCAGAAACATTCTATAAAACTCTCCTCCCTTTTGAATATTAATTCAGAAAACTGTAGGGATAAGTTAATTGTTGGGTGTTTACTCATATCAATCAAGGATTCTTCACAAATGTTCTTTTAGGATATATAATTTATAATTTAACTTACACAGAAATTGCTATTGGATTTAGGGTAATATAGTAGAAAGAATACTTTGAGAATAAGGAGACTTGGTGCCTAGATCTATTTTTGCTGCTAACTTTGTGATTTTTAGTCAAGTCTATTTTAATTATTTGCCTCATTTTCTCACCTACTTCAAGGGTTGGGCTAGATTACTTCTAAGAATCTTTCCAGTTTTAACATTACAAATTAGAATACTACTACCATGAATAATCAAGGTCATCTTGAAGGTCAAATCAATGAAGACACAGGAACTGAAGAAAATCCTAAAAAACCATAATCTCCTTTTGTAAAGCTTTATTTTTCTTTAAGATCCCCTAGGTATTCCTAGTAATCGTTCAAAACGATTGTCCAAATATTACTGAAGTATTTTTGAAGTAGTACACCTACCTAATATTTCAAAAAGAAGTACAGTTTTCTGTGCATGTTCACGCCAGTACTTCATGCTTTCAATAACTGCAGATATAATTCTTAAAGAATTATCTTTTTCCCTAAGCTTTAACTGATATGATGAAGCTTCCTTCTGGAAAAATAAAAACACAGCAGTAGAAAAACCTGTAATTTTTTTCATCATATTCATTCACTTTCTATGTAAAGATTCTAGGTCCTTATACTAGGCAAAAGTGTAAAATATGTTAAAATACTATGTAAAATATGTAAAAAAGAACTACTGAAAATTTTAGTAGTTATTCCCCTAAATTAAAAGTATCATTAGTACTTTATAAAGGAGAAGAAACTAGAATACATTTGGAGATAATTAAGAAGATTTTTTTCTTTTTATCTCTTATTTTACACAAGCGTTCATTTACTCATTCATTTGTTGATTCTTTAAATATTTTTAAAGCATCGTGTGCCAATTCTGTGACAAACACAGGTAAGTCAAATTGTATTTGACTACGTGCTCACACTCTGAGGGAATCCAGACACATTTATTTATTCATTCCAAAAGCAATTATTGGTACCTACCATGTGCTAGACATGGCTAATGAGGAAACAATACTGAAGGTAGACAACCTATCTACCTTCACAGATTTTACAGTCTAATAGGGGATTCAAAAGATTAATAAATATATAATAGAATGTCAGAAATTAATATATTCTGTGCATTTTAAAAAACAGGATAAAAGGATAACAAGACACACGGATTATTATTTTAAATAGGTTGTTGACTGAGGAATAAGGGAATAGTGAGTGTAAAGGCCTTGAGATAGGAAAGTTCTGGCATTTTTAAAAATCAACTGAGAGAGTAGGATGGCCAAGATGGTGGAGGAGAAAGACCCTGAGCTCACTTCCTCTCATGGGCACACCAACATTACATTTATTTACAGAGCAGCCATTCACAACCTTTAAGAAAATATATTGGGAAAAAAACATTCATCTACTCCTATCAATAGAACTGGCTGTTTGTGCTAATTCAGTAATGTACGCCATGGGAGTGATTTCAAATGCTCTTATATCTGTAAACTTTCTAAATACTTATCTCACATTTTTTAACTGAAATACAAAATTGCAAATAATATTGAAAAGTTTACCTTGAGGGTGTTTACTTCTTGAAAACCATCGAACATTTTTTTCTTAAATTGATTTTGTTGAAAATTGGGCTTAAACGCCTGCAATGTGCTATTTTTGTTTAGACTTCTCATTGTGGAGCCAGGCATTTCTGACGACTTTGCTTGTCTGAGTGCTTCACTTTCTCTTTGGCTAGGTAAGTTAGTAGATTCAGATACTCTTAATTGTTTCTGCTGTTGAGCTCCCAAATTCATTGAACTGGAATTTATTTCATTATTTGTCATTAGATTTCTTCTTTTGTACTGAGGCTTAAAATCATTTTTATCCCAAGTTTTTAAACTAGTATTTTTGTTGCCATCTCTGTAGCTGTAATAGTATTTTAAAAATTTGGTATCAGTTTTGTTTCTATATACTTTTTCTTAATTAAAAGAAAATTATTAATGAATTATTTAATCTTCATTTATATGGTAATTTGTACTACTTTGCAACTACTGACCAGTTAGAAATTCTAAACACAACATCACAGCAACCCTAGAATATATTAAGCCTCTCTTTTCAGGTGAGGAAATGGAGTCTTAAGGAGGAAGTAATTTGCCAAAGTCACATAGCAAGTTTACTGACAATCCAAAACCCAGAGAACTCAACTCAAAGTCAAGTGCCAAAGAATTTATTTTTAAACTATACAAGAACATATGAGTAGAAAGATTTTTTTCAGCATAGTAAGATTTTGAGGATGTTTGCTTCCTTTTTTATACGTTTATTTTTAAATTTTCTACAAAATAAATTTTTCAAAAGTTAAACTATGGCTTGTCAGTGATTTTAAATCACAAAGAAAATAGATATAGGCAGGGTGGATAGCTGTCCAATTAGAAATTTTGTACTTTTACTGAGTAGCTTAAAAGTCTTACTTATTAATTTGTTTCAGCATTTTACTAGCTATATTAACCTAAGTGAGTTGTACCAGCCAATCAGAACATGATGTTAATGAGGCTGAAATTAAAAGTATAATTTCAGAGCAGGCTAGGTAAAAGTTCCACAGGGAAAAACTAACCTACGTCACAAATATTTATTTCTGAATAATTTTCCTAAAAAATACCACAAGTACCACAAGAGGGCAAACAACGCAACACAACCTTGTTAAGGAAAATAATCCAAAACTATTTCAGTAGTTAACACTTACCCAAGAATACTAAAGTCCAACCTAAAAAATGATCCATGTCCTTTTTGTATCTATTCATTTTTTTTCACGTTATTTAGACATTAAACTTGGATACCTCTGACAAGTGCCCTCACCATCTTAACAGAGCATTTCGTGCTCCATCTTTCTTTCTTATTTCCATCCTATTTACCTTGGAGCTGACTATCTTACTAGGGTAAGATTGAGCATTCTATTTGGTTCTCAATTTCTAAATATATCCAACATTTAGGTACAGTTATTCTTGACTCTTTACCTATTGTCAATTAGACATTAATGACAAAATCGTAAATTCACGGTGATAAATATTTACAGAAATTTCATACAACATGAAGTATTCTTTGGAAATATAATCACTACCAAATTTGCCTATTTTTAACATTTTATATGGCATGTTCTCTTCTTTCATAAAACACAGCTAATATCAGTATAGTTAGTTATTCAGTACAGAAATTTCCTAAATGTCAATTCTGTTTAAGAAAGGAGGAAAAGATAGAGGAGGAGAAAAGGGAGTAAAGGAGGAGATGGGAAGGAAAAGAAGAAATAGAATAAGAAAAATCTTAAGTAGACTCACCTCCAATCACTCTTGCTTCTCTCAGCATTTGATTGAATAGGTTTAGACACAGAATTTTCACTTCTCAGGGGATGAGAAACTGAATGTGGTATTTGCCTTTCAAGGAAATATGTCTTATTAACTATTAATAATTTGTTCTCCAATTGAGAAATATAAAATATACATAGAAGACTAACATCAGTCAGTAACAGACACATGCATTTATTGGTACACATTTTTTTCACATACCCCGTGTTCACTGTTTTCGTTAAAGGAGGCAACTCCGGATTCACAGCTTCCCAGGCCCAATCTCAAAAGATATAAGTAACACAGGTAAGGGTAAGTTAGGTAGCGTTTGGGGGAAAATAATTCTTTCATATTTAATTAATATGTGGGGGAGGCAACTGAAAGCCTGAAGGAGAAAAATACTTGAATATATGGACATGTTCTTTAAAAGTACTTTGTTGTGGAATTAGTCAGTCTGTCTTACTAATTTTTTTAGATATCTCCCTTTCCCACTGTATTCCAAGCAAGGTATTTAATCTGTATATCTTTCACAGTCAATCCTAGTAAAGTATCTTACATTTTGTAACACAAATTTCAGTGTAATCAATGTTTCTTAATCCCAACGCACAGCAAGAAATACATCAAAACCCAGAAAATATACACACATAGCATGCGCATGTGTGTGCATGTGTGTGTGTGCCTGTGTGTGTTTGAGAGAGAATACAGCAATTTTACCATCCATTCTTTTTCTTACTTACTATGTATATACACTCTGATATTTTCTATTTTATTCTATTCAATTCTATTTATTTTTTTAAAAGATTTGTTATTTCCTAAACTACTAATGGATCAAGAAAAAAAATTGAAAAACACTGATCTAGTCCTCTCTCTTACCCACGATAAGATATTTTGTTGTATTTCTGACAGATAGTAATCCTGGTCAGAGCTTGAAAAGTTCAGTACTTTAGGATTATGCACATTTGCCTATGGAACAACTCAAACGGTTATTTTAGATCATCTGTCATTAAATGGTTATATTTAAATCATCTGTCACTCACACTTATAAAATATTTTAAATAGAAGAGAAATTTTTTTAAATAGCAGAAGATGACCAGATAAATGCCCACTTTCACATATCCACAAGAATTTTTTAACCTTTTATCTATAAAAATGAGAATAATATGAAATTCAAACTTTCAATTCCTCAAATGTAGAAGAAAACAAAATAACTATAGATTTAAAACTAGATTAAAAAAGATACACTATGGTTGTGATAAAAAAAATAAATAAATAAATAAAAAACAACTTAAAAAAAAAATAAAACTAGATTAAGGTCTATTGTTGCACATTGGATGAAATTAATAAGTACTAATATATATATATATATTAAAGGATTTTAAAATTCTAGTTGCAGAAAATCCTGTTAAAGCTTTTTAAGTGTGGTCCCGCAAAATGTAAAGGTATATAACCAGCAGGTACCAAGTATATTTCAGAATATCTGACTGTCCATGCCTTCTTCCAAAGAGAAGTAAAAAGTAAATAAACATTAAGACCTCCCAGGCCAAACCACCACAGCTAATTATTTCAGAGATGAGAGGCCTAACCATAAGGTTAAATTAAAGAATGAAACTAGAACACTCTCTAACACTACTCTCTAACATTCTCTAACATCAAAATGGATTAAAGGTCTAAATGTAAGACCAGAAACTATAAAACTCCTAGAGGAAAACATAGGCAAAGCACTCTCTGACATAAATCACAGCAGAATCCTCTATGACTCATCTCCCAGAGTAATGGAAATAAAAGCAAAAATAAACAAATAGGACCTAATTAAACTTAAAAGCTTTTGCACAATGAAGGAAATCATAAGGTGAAAAGACAGACTTCAGAAGGGGACAAAACAATAGCAAACGAAGCAACTGACAAAGAATTAATCTCAAAAATATATAAGCAGCTCCTGCAGCTCAATTCCAGAAAAATAAATGACCCAATCAAAAATTGGGCCAAAGAACTAAACAGACATTTCTCCAAAGAAGACATACAGATGGCTAAAAAGCACATGAAAAGATGCTCAACATCACTCATTATCAGAGAAATGCAAATCATAACCACAATGAGGTACCATCTCATGCTGGTCAGAATGGCTGCTATCAAAAAGTCTATAAACAAAAAATGCTGCAGAGGGTGCGGAGAAAAGAGAACCCTCTTACACTGTTGGTGGGAATGGAAACTAGTATAGCCACTACAGAGAACAGTGTGGAGATTCTTTAAAAAACTAGAAATAGAACTGCCATAAGACCCAGCAATCCCACTGTTGGGTACACGCACTGAGGAAACCAGAATTGAAAGAGACACGTGTACTCCAGTGTTCACTGCAGCACTGTTTACAATAGCCAGGCAAGGAAGCAACCTAGATGTCTGTCAGATGAATGGATAAGAAAGCTGTGGTACATATACACAATGGAATATTACTTGGCTATCAAAAAGAATACATTTGAATCAGTTCTAATGAGGTAGATGAAACTAGAGCCTATTATACATAGTGAAGTAAGTCAGAAAGAAAAATACCAACACAGTATATTAACACATATATATGGAATCTAGAAAGATGGTAACGATGCACCTATATGCGAGACAGCTAAAGAGACACAGATGTAAATAACAGACTTTTGGACTATGTGGGAGAAGGCGAGGGTGGGATGATTTGAGAGAATGGCATTGAAACATGTATATTATCATATGTGAAATAGATCGCCAGTCCAGGTTCGATGCATGAGACAGTGTGCTCGGGGCTGGTGCACTGGGATGACCCTGAGGGATGGGATGGGGAGGGAGATGGGAGTGGGGTTCAGGATGAGGAACACAGGTACACCCATAGCTGATTCATGTCAGTGTATGGCAAAAACCACTACAATACTGTAAAGTAATTAGCCTCCAATTAAAATAAATAAATTAAAAAAAATTATTTCAGTGACCTCATTTAAAAACATGAGTTGAAGCAAGGCTCGCTGTCTCTAGAATTTGAATCAAGAGAAACAGAGGGCAGCCAATGATGGGTTCTGAGAACTAGAACTAAAAGGCTATGTTAACACCCAGCAAAGGCAACTTAGTTCACATACCAGTGGACACTAAAAGGAAGCCAGCTGGATGAAACAGTGAAAAGTCAACAAACGAAATAAGGCAAAAATTACATAAGAAGAGAAAAAAAGACTAGGGTCAAGCACAAGAAATTCCTTGGCTTCTACCTTCTTAAGTTCTATTTTCTTCCATTTTTCCTGTGTTCCCATTCATATCCTTATTCCTGAAGCAACTTAAGTTTCTCCATTCTTTACCACCAAATGTTTAAGTCACAATATCTGTGTTTTGTAATAGAAAAAAAAAAACTCTTTCCAATATAGGTTACTACTTCACTAGAAGAAAGGCTCCAGATTTAAGATACCCCATTTAAATGCTAAGTCACCCTTGTAAACAAGGAAACTCTAACTGTTGTACCGGAATGCTCAGAAAGAGCCAAGTAATTCCTATAACTGGATAGTGGAAAGAAGAAAAAAATATACTTTCTTTCTGTTTCCATTATAATACAGTAGAAACTGCCATTTTCTATAATCCTCTTTCTTATTTTCTGAGAATTTTCACTTTATTTTCTTACCTGATGGTAAAGGAGGGAAATCATAACTGTCAGAAGCATTACTGATACCTGGATTATTTTGAAGTGGATTGGATGTTAATGGCTGTCTATTCCTCTTTTTCTGATTGAACAATGGTACAGGCAAACAGCCTAAATTGAAAGTACCAAAAAATTAGTACACAATAGGCAAATAATCAGATCTAGTTATAGAATAATTATTAGTATATAATAATATACTATTTGAATTTGTCTATTTCTATATGTTACTTTTATATTTATTACAGATATATTTATATAGATTTTGATTTATTTTTATGTTCTTTTAAAGATCCAAAATAGACTTATCTGTCTCTAAAAAATCCTTTCTTGTTCTATGTTACCATTACCTTAATTCCTCTTATTTAGCAGTAATTCGCATCTCCTTCCTCATCCCCCAACCCTTTCCAAACCCACTTTTGCTTTCTTTACTTCTCTCCTGTGCTTGCTTATCAACTGGAAGGAACCCTTTGAGTACAATACAGGTAAAGGAGAACCAAAATTTGACCCATGCTTTCCAAAATCCTAATCACTCTCTGACTATAGTAGCAGACCCTTTAAGGCCATGGTTCTTTCACTTTAGTTTGACTAAGATTTACCTGTAATTATGCTTAGCATGCCAGTTCCTAGACCCCAATCTCATAAATTTTATTTCAGTAGATTTGCTTTGGAAGTCAAAACTTTGCAATTTCACCAAGAACTCCAGGGGTCTGTAATATATATTTTCTATGGATCATTCCTGAGAACGACTTAGAGTGATGGTAATATATCCAATCTCCCTGGCACATAAATATTTCTAATAAGTCACAAGTAAAAATTAGAAGATTATTAATTTATCTTCAGCTTAAAGCACAAAACAAATCAATCACATGGCTTTATATAAAGAACACAAGAGCAAATCCAGAAAAGCCTGATTTTACTTAAACCTAAGCCAATAAGTGTTTTGTCTTATTTCCTTCAACCTAAAAAGAGGCTGGACTATATGTTCATTATTTTTAAAAGTCCCTTCCAAAGTGTTGTATCTATATGCTATACAAACTATATATATATATACACACACACACACACACACAGTTGTATCTATATAGGTTATATATATATATATATATATATATATATATATATAATATGTATATATGCTACATACAAACTACAGAAATTTTAAAAATAAAAGTCAGTCAATACCTGCTGTACTCCTAGTTGGATTTTCATTTAGGTTTCTCTTCATTTCTTTCAATATCAAAGTCTCTAATTTTTATTCTCCAGTGCTCCAACTTTACAACATGAAGTTGTCTGACTAAACCTTCAAAGAAAGAAATGTATACCTCATATTGTATCAGTGACAAAATCAAGTGCTCAGTCTAGTAATTACTGAAATTATGGTTTAAAGCTATGACCAACCTGATAAACACCCTACAGAGTCTTTCTCTTTCCAGGTAACAATTTACAACATGACACATTTTTTCAAATTAGTTTGAAGTTAAGACTAGGGTGGCTATAATCTTGTTTCCTAAACATATGTGAATTTTCACAGAGTCTATGTAATTTACTTCAGAATCAAGGACCCAAAGTGAGAATAATTCTGAAAGAGATGTACATAGAGGAAAATGGACCACAATATTGGCAAACATGCTTATAAGGCCAGGGAGGAAACATACACAATTGAACTAGCCACGTGAGAATGTGTTGTCTCACTTTAAAACACCATGCAGATCATGTGCTTTAGTCATTAGTTTGAGATCTCTGGATTATACAATACCAAAGACTAAGGCCTCACTTAATATCTATAATAACTGTAATGATAAGTTTCAACTCTGTTTCTGTAATTCCAAGTGAAACAAGATCTGGTTTTTTTTTTTTCCTTTTACCACAGGATTCCTTTTGTAATTTTTTCCGTGTCCAGCCTCTTATATTTCAATCTCACTTTAATACATACTTGCATATTTTGTGAAAAATTAAGATTTAAACCTAAGTAAGATCACTTCTGCTCCCAAGAGCAGAAGAGACCCCATGAGACAAAGAGACATGAACACCACCGAGTAATAATGCAAATCATACTGGGGTAAACAGTATCAATTATCATTTTTAGAAATAAAACTTGGGAAACTTGAGGTTAGGGACTGCCTCAGCTTTGCTTCCACAGCTTGGCCTTGAACCTGGATATAGCAGGCCCATTAGAGAATATTCCTGACTCCATTCTAGGAAACAGAAGTTAAGCGACCTTTTCTTAGCCCAGAAATACCAACGCAACACACCTGAAACTAAAAGGGGACAGCAAGGGCTATTACTGTTTCTGAGACTTAGGCAAACAAAAGCGCCACATCCTCCCGTAGACCACTGGCCCCGGGGGCAAAAGACCCTGAGGTGTTCCCTACCCCAGCTTACAACAGGACCCTAATTATATTAAGGCAGGTGGTGACAAATGGGCAGAAAGTTTGTTCAACGCGCAAACACACATGCACACACCGGCCCCCAAAACCGCTGCCTCAGATCGAGGCCATCGGGCCTACTTGGGCGCCTCATGGAGAAGAACACAAAGCTCCAGTCAGGGCTCATGTTCTCTTCCAACAATCTCTCCTGACTCGGGAGGGGAGCAGTTTGGTAACTAGGGCTTTCTCTGCTTGGCCCTCCCGCCAACACGACAAGTAACTTTAACCTTCAGGTTCCCGCCTTCTGTCAACGGTCGCCCAGCCTCCAGTCAACAACCGCCAACCTTCTTCCCGCCTCCAGACTCCAAAGTCCCTCTGTGCGCATGCGCATCTTGCCCCGCCCCCTTCGGCACATGCGCAGAGGCTACCACCTGGTGCGCAGTAACGTGGCGTCATCACTTCGGTGGACACGGAGGGAGAAACACGAGCAAGGAAACATGACCGCGCCTCTCCTTGCATTCTCACACTGTGGGGTACGCGGCATAGGGAAGGCTCTGCCTCTTTAGATTTTCGCCCATAGAGGGACAAGCCTTTTCTAGTTGCCTGTGGTGCTCAGCCAGTCTTCACCCCAGCTTCGTCTGGAAGTTGGGCCCAGGGCTGGTCACCAAACCCCGTTCCCACACCCCGAGGTCATTTTTTAAGTTCTAGACATCAGTTTGTGAGATGCTGGTGGCTTCCTGGAGTGTGCCTAGAATAGAATAACTCAAGGGCCATAGACCTCAAAGCCAGGTCAGAGGGGTCTTGCTTGGTCTGGCAGAGTTTCAGAGTAAGGTCAAGCAGATGGGACATTGGAGTCGCCAGGAGGCTGTGAGAGCTGAGGCCTGGGTTTGAAGACAGCCCGGTTCAGGAAGGCAGGGCCAGTGCTGCACAAGCTTGAGAAGGGAAACAGCACATGCCTTAGAGATCCGGGACCCCAGAGAACAAAGGGAAGGCGCAGTGACCCAGGCTCTGGCCCTCAGCTATTGGACTGCCCCCTCTGGTCCTTTTATCTTGTTGGACAAGTTACCCCTCTAAACCTACATTTCCTGCCTCAGTAAAATAGCAATAATAATGCTTACTTAATTACCCTGAAGATATTAAAAGAGAAAATGAACAGTTCTGACACACAGTAAATGATCAGTAAATGTTAGCCCCTTTTAATAACAGTGGCTGCCATTTATTGAGTACTTACTGGAGGCCAGGGATAATAATTCTACTTCTGTCTGGGTTCAAAGACCATGTTTTGCTGTTACCCTGTCTTCTGACCATTTGGAGACTAAGGGAGATGAAGGGAAGAAGTGCAGAGGGGCCCAGAGATGAACAGAAGGTTGTTAGTAAAGTCCTTCTTAGGACTCCTTCTTCCAATTCTTTGCGAACCCGTGGACTGTATATACAGTCCATGGAATTCTCTAGGCCAGAATACTGGAGTGGTAGCCATTCCCTTCTCCAGGGGATCTTCCCAACCCAGGGATCAAAACAGGGTCTCCCACATTGCAGGTGGATTCTTTACCACCTGAGCTATCAGGGAAGCCTTTCAGACTGAGTGCCTTTCACTTCACAAGAGTATGAGACCATGAGATATATTTCTTTGAAGAATAGGTCAAAGAGAATATTAGGAGATAGGATTAGAGGTAGATTGAGACCAGATGATAAATATTCAACCTCATTGTGAGATAGTGACAGCTAAAAAAGAGTCTCAGTTTGTATACTATCAGTTCTCTAAATTTCTCGAAAAGAACTAGACTAATAAAAATTTGTAGTTCAGAAAAATTTCTCGGGTTCAGATATTTAGAGTGCTTTGGGAAACAGGGAGTTAAAAATCTTTCGGAAGTTAACTTGGTATAAGACTATGAAAAGCCTCTGTTGCTCTAGTTCTAAGGAAATGCTCTCCTTTTTTTTCTAATAAAGCTTTCCACAGAAGACAAACTCTGTACACAATACACAAGGTAAGTATAGGACAGAATTACTACAATTCATTAACTCTCAAAAAAAGGTATTCATTTTGACGTGTAAAGGAAACTTGATGAATGTTAGATGTGCTTCAGAGTGTTGATCTGTGAAAATTCCATAAAACAAGCCTCAAATTGCAAGTCATTTGTGCCAGCTACAAGTACATAGCTGAAGCAGCATTTCCAGAGAGACTAGGGCAAAGGACAGAACTAACCAGAAATTGGCAGAAGAGAAACAAAAACATAATCGAATGTTAATAATTTACTATAGTTACTGTTGTTGAAACCAAAGTAACTAAATAATACGATCGTCATCTGTTTACATTTATGCTTGTTTTCTGCATCTCTGCACTGAAGTGTTCAGTGTACATGGATGTGGACAGAAAATCAAAAGCTACAGGGTTTTTTTCTGAAATTAGAACAGTAATTTCAATGTGTGCATTTTAATTTTATTGTTATGCTTTCTCTGGGTCTCTGCATTATAATCTCTTAAAGGAAGAAAACGGATATTGGGTTATTAACTATTTTGAAGCATTCACATTTTATATTTCCATCATGTGTTTTGTTTGTAAGCTTGTTTGTTTCCTGAGCACACTGTTGTGACTGTTTATGTGAATTTGGAAAGAGCAAAATTAGAATTTTGGGGAAAGCCAAAAATAACAGGGAACACCCTATTGTTCTGTGAAAAACACTGGACTTGGATTCAGAGAACTTGGATCTCAGGCATGGTTTTCTCCTGGAAACTCGACAACTTAACCAAATTAGTCTTTTTTTCTCTTACCACTGCACTGGGGATGTCAATTGCTAACCCTTCCTATCGTCTAAAGTGGATATGTGAATAAACTGAGAAAACAGATGGCAAAAAACATTTTAAATTAAACTACTCTGTAGTTGTAAGGAATCACTCTTGTACTCCTTCTGAACGATCTCCCATTACTAGTACATAATGTTTTCAGTACTTGAACGTATTTGACTTTCTGGGTGATTGAGCATGAAATCAAATCGGATATGGCTCAGACTCATTTCTCCAAAAGAATGTAATCATCTTAGTACAGTATTCTGCATAGTTTCCCCTAATAAGACCCCTTCTTGAGTAACACATTCCAGTGGAGAGTCTCTGCTGACAGTAAATTAGGCTGTGTCTGTATAAACTCGTATAATCTGGTTAGTATATTGAGTGTGTCTTGAGCGTGTCTCAAGACATTTTCAGGCATTTCAATGTCTTGAAAATTACTAATAGTTGTTTGTCTTTTAGTATTCAGGCAAAAAGTGAGGAAGATCCCTAAGAAAGTTGACATGGAATTACTAATAACTTCATGAGAAAGAAATTAAAGCGTGTTTCCCAAAAAAGTCATGTTTCAAAGTAACTTTTTAAGACCCAGTGATCTTTGATTTGGTTCTTGTGTCTCTAACCATTAGAAAGCTTTCTGAAAGAAAGGATAAAAAAAAACCCAGTGTGATTTATAATCTCCAAAAAATTACATGAGTCAGCTTAATAATATGGTAATTCAGTTCAGTTCACTTCAGTTCAGTCACTCAGTCGTCTGACTCTTTGCGACCCCATGAACCGCAGCACGCCAGGCATCCCTGTCCACCAACTCCCGGAGTCCACCCAAACCCATGTCCATTGAGTTGGTGATGCCATCCAACCATCTCATCCTCTGTCGTCCGCTTCTCCTCCTGCCCTCAATCTTTCCCAGCATCAGGGTCTTTTCAAATGAGTCAGCTCTTCACATCAGGTGACCAAAGTATCGGAGTTTCAGCTTCAACATCAGTCCTTCCAGTGAACACCCAGGACTGATCTCCTTTAGGATAGATTGGTTGGATCTCTTTGCAGTCCAAGGAACTCTCAAGAGTCTTCTCCAATACCACAGTTCAAAAGCATCAATTCTTCGGCGGTCAGCTTTCTTTATAGTCCAACTCTTACATCTATACATGACCACTGGAAAAACCATAGCCTTGACTAGACGGACCTTTGTTGGCAAAGTATTGTCTCTGCTTTTTAATATGCTGTCTAGGTTGGTCATAACTTTCCTTCCAAGGAGTAAGCGTCTTTTAATTTCATGGCTGCAATCACCATCTGCAGTGATTTTGGAGCCCAGAAAAATTAAGTCAGCCACTGTTTCCCCATCTATTTCCCATGAAGTGATGGGACCAGATGCCATGATCTTAGTTTTCTGAATTTGAGCTTTAAGCCAGCCTTTTCACTCTTCTCTTTCACTTTCATCAAGAGGCTCTTTAATTCTTCTTCACTTTCTGCCATAAGGGTGGTGTCATCTGCATATCTGAATTTATTGATATTTCTCCTGGCAGTCTTGATTCCACCTTGTGCTTCCTCCAGCCCAGTGTTTCTCATGATGTACTCTGCGTATAAGTTAAATAAGCAGGGTGACAATATACAGCCTTGACGTACTCCTTTTCATATTTGGAACCAGTCTGTTGTTCCATGTCCAGTTCTAACTGTTGCTTCCACTGTTGCTTCCTGACCTGCATACAGGTTTCTCAAGAGGCAAGTCAGGTGGTCTGGTATTGCCATCTCTTTCAGAATTTTCCACAGTTTATTGTGATCCACACAGTCAAAGGCTTTAGCATAGTCAATAAAATATAGTAGTAGGTTCAGTATTTTAATTCACTATCTAGAACTCTAGGTCCTTTATCACAAGAAGTCCACATAGTTTATACTGCACACTGTATGGAGGTGCAGAGCCGGTGATAACTTTGCCTAAAGTTACACAGTGGTAACGTGTTCCAGTCTGAGCACAGGCTGACCGAGACTTGCATCTGTCCGCTCACTCCAGTGTTGCCAGTGGGCACTTGCCAGGTGGGTGCTGGATTGCACACGGCTCACTCCCTGCCATTGTCACCCTTCCTACTTCTGTGGTGGCTTATTTGATGCCTTACTAGTTCTACACACTGATACCTGATGTGTTGAAGCATCTTAAATGTTGTAAGGGAAACCATGACCTGCTCAGCTTGACCACTCATCCAGCGGATGGGCCTGTGGCATCTGAGTGGGTTGGCCGTCCTTTCCAAAGCGCAAATGATGCCCCCAAAATGAGGCAGGTGAGATTTACAGTCATGGGTTCTGAAGAGGCTCAATTCTTGAAAAGTCCTAAGGTTCTGAATCAAAGTGAGTATCTTTAATCAACACTCACAAACTATGTACTGTGCTGGTTGGAGGCCAAAGGTTAGTGTTATAATACTACACTGTAATTGGAGGGAGGGGAGCACTAGCCAGTCCACCCTGCTGTTGTAAGAAGCCGTTCACATGCGTAAAGTTCTTAGATATGCAAAGACAGGCTTTGGTACTGAAACTGAAGAAATTGTGTACCCAAGCATCTTCACAGCTTCTACTGGACATATTTTCTTTTTAGGAATGAAGGAATATTCTCCCATTTTTGATCCATTCTTTTATGTCAGTTCTACAAAATTGCATGTAACTTTATATTTTTAAAAGATTCTTAAGTATTTAATCTGTTAATTTGATTTTAAATTATAAATGTCAGTTAAGTTGAGGGTTTTATGTTTTATATGTTAAAAAGGAAAAAGTGTACATTTTTAAGGATTTTTTATGAATAAGTTTAATGTACTGAAAGTTAAAAAAAAGAAAGGATAGTGGTTCCAGAGGAGTTCTCTGAGGATCTGCCATTGGCTGTTTATAGAGCTGAAATTCAGATGCCCTCAGAAGATAAATAGGGCCTGAACTCATTTCAGAGAAGAAATGATTTTAAGCAGAAATATAAATATTGAATAATAAGATGCATACTATGGGCCAGTCTTTTATTTTATATCTTTGAGGATAAGAAAAGTGTGATCTATTTTTACTACCACAATAATCATGAAAACACTGGGAGAAAACATTCTGGCTAAAGAGAAAGCAAAAGTTTCGCTTAAGTGTGAGATGCTAATTTATTATTGCATTTAGGTCTACCGACCATTTGAGGGAGTTAGAAGTTAAAGTAAACAGCTGCATCTCTAGTTGATCTCTGCATATTTTAACCCAAATATGGTAAAGGGCAGGGCTAAAGAAGGGAGTATCCCTATAATAAACGGAGCTCAGAACTTGTAACAGAAAATTAAAATATACTCCACTCAAGAGAAGTCTGTACTTTGCACTTAGGTTAAAGTCTCATTTAGATTTAAATTTCTAAACCTTGCTTAAGAAATTAAGTTTTCTTTGATCTCCTCTCTTCTGAATTGCCGAAATCAGATAAACCTACTTGACAAAAATGACTTCTTGTCACGTTGCTGAAGACCCTATAAAAAAGGTGGCTATCTTTGGAGGAACTCATGGGAATGAACTAACAGGAATATTTCTAGTTAAGCACTGGCTGGAGAACAGCACTGAGATTCAGAGAAGAGGGCTGGAGGTAAAACCATTTATTACCAACCCAAGAGCAGTGAAGAAGTGCACCAGATATATTGACTGTGACCTGAATCGAGTTTTTGACCCTGAAAATCTTGGGTAAGACTATATTTTGTGTTGTATGTGTGCACATGCACACGTGTGTTTGTGTGTGTGTGAAAAGTAGTATGTGTGAAAGCACATGTATATACATATGATATTCATGTTCATACGTAGAATCGCTATTGTGAATAAGATCACTTTCACTTTTAGTCATACTATATGATGAATTAATTACCTAAACTGGACATTCATGTACTCTTTTATAAACTTTTTTAAATGTCAGACACTTCTTAACTGATTTATTTTTAAAAATATATTCTACCTAGACTGGGACAACAAATAAGAAAGGTTTTTATTTTTAAATCACGTCTTTAAAGAAACATTTAATAAGTCTTTTGCATTAAATTAATATTTGACTGCTATGCTTAGGTAGGTATTTTTTAGCTTTCTAGGTGATTCACTACTGTGTTTTTTGCAACTATGTTTTTTGGTAGTGCATGAAATTCTAGTTAAGAAAAATGTAATGTTTGTTAATGTTTATTTAATGAAAGAGTGAATAAATGACCATCATCAGAAAACATTAGACTGCTTTGTGATCTGAGGAGTACATGTACTACCTTAAGTAGTGGGTCCCTGAGACCTGGATTTTCTGAATTTAAATTATAGCTGATGATAACATTACGTATAGTGTATACAATCATAATGCTCTATGTCCTTATTATTTTTGCCTTTGTTTATATCATTGTAGCTACTCCTGTAGATATATAGGCCTCTAAGCTTTTTACCACTTCTTTCATTTACATAAAAATATTTTTAAACACCTACTCTTCATGGGGCACTGTGCCAGATAACTGTGGGAATACAAAGTTATGTACAGAATGGTTTCTGCTCTCAATGAGCTAACAGATGACAAGCTAAGATACAAGTCATGCCCAGCAACAACTAATATAGCACTGTTTTATATACTCATTTTCTATTAAATCCTGTTTTGAGTTTAAAGAGTTACTTTAATCTCACCACAGATCAAAAGATGGTTACTATATTTATGCAAATTTGCCTCACTTTATGGAATACATTTTCTGGGGCAGTTATACATTAGTCATAGCTTACGTTTCAAACCATATTTTTGCTAACATAAATTTTAAATTCAAACATTCTTTATATTCATGACTGAGATTATGTCAACACAATTAAGGTTTATCTATTCAACTAAAATAGCTATTAACTAACTCTTTACATTACCACTAAAGATTTGTTGAAGAATAACTTTTAGTTGGCATGTTAACTTGCCAAATAACTCTGAAATGGACTAGATTGAGTTTTCTTATTATGACCACTCAGTGGCTTGCATTTCAATGAGAGTAGTCTTTTAAATTAAACTCACTTTCTACTTCTTATATTTAACACTTATCAGAGGCCAGATAGGTTTTTTTCAGGGTGTTTATGGAAACTTATGGGGTAGATTAGTCACTTACCTTCTCCCATCCTCCTTCTCCTAAACTGTGCTGCTTTTCCTATATTCCTCATCTCAGTGATGTCACCATTACCCACTAAATCACTTGTGGAAATCATCTTAGAACCTTCCACATTCTTTATTCCCTACATCTAGTGGGTTACTAAATCTTTCAGTTATTCAAATACTGAATAGATGTTTATTATCTTTCAGGGCATCATTTCTTGACTCTGAGCACCTGAGTAGGTGGTGGTGGCATTTACTCACATAGGGGAGAAGGAGAAGCAAATCAGTTGTGGCAGGGAGGGAGGAACTTATGGAGTTGTGGCATTAATTAACTTTTAAAGTGCATTTGTAGCTTTTGGCTTCCCAGGCGGCACTAGTGGTAAAGAAAGTGTTAGTCACTCAGTCGTGTCCAACTCTTTGTGACCCCATGGACTGCAGCCCACCAGGCTCTTCTGTCCATGGTATTCTCCAGGCAAGAATACTGGAATGGGTATCCATTTCCTCCTCCAGGGGATCTTCCCGATCCAGGGATTGAACCCAGGTCTCCCGCATTGCAGGCAGACTCTTCTGACTGAGCCACGTGGGGATCCGTAGTAAAGAACTTGCCTGCAAATGAAGGAGACATAAGAGATGCAGGTTGGATCCCTGGGTTGGGAGGATCCCCGGAGGAGGGCATGGCAACCCACTCCAGTATTCTTGCCTGGAGAATCCCATGGACAGAGGAGCCTGGAGGGCTACAGTCCGTAGGGTCACAAAGAACATGTCTGAAGCGACTTAGCCCGCACACACATACACATGTAGCCTTTAGGAACAATCTGGTTGCTTATAATAGAAATCTGAAAACAATGACTTAAACAAATAAGGGGTTTTTTTCCCACAAATAATAAGTCCAGAGGTAGGCAGTCCAGGCAGACACAGTGGTTCAGTGATATCATAAAGGCCACAGGCTTCTGTCTTCTCACTGTGCTGTGCTTGGTCGTTCAGTGTCCGACTCTTTGTGATCCCACAGACTGTAGCCCTCCATGCTCCTCTGTCCATGGGGATTCTCAAGGCAAGAATACTGGAGTGGGTTGCCATGCCCTCCTCTAGAGGATCTTCCCAACCCAGAGATCGAACCCAGGTCTCCCACATTGCAGGCAGATTCTTTACCATCTTAGCTATCAGGGAAGTCCAAGAATACTGGAGTGGGTAGCCTATCCTTTCTCCAGGGGACCCAACCCAGGAATCGAACTGGGGTCTCCTTCCTTGCAGGTGGATTCTTTACCAGCTGAGCTACTAGGGAAGCCCCAGTCTTCCCACTGCACTAGCCTTAATATGCAGCTTTTGTCTTCATTGCTTTTCTTCATAGTTGAAAAACTGCTTCTCCCAACTTCTTGATTGCATTCCGGGCAAGAATTACTCAGGTGCAAACTGTAGGTCTTTTGAAGATGCTAACAAAAATAGTCAGAGAATAGAAATAAATGGAATTATAGAGAAATGTTGTTGAATGCTTTCATGAGAAAAATAAATTTAAATTATCATGTACATTAAGAAAAAATGTATCCTAACCGTTGAGCTTGGAGGTGGGGGAGAGCAGGTAGAGACTCATTTAAGAATTCAATAAAAAATATCAACCCTCATCCTATGATGCATATGTGCATATACCTGCAATGTTTTGCATTTTCACAGGGTTCCCAGACTCTTCTCTGTAAACCTTGACCCTGAACCACTAGTGGGTCCTAGAATCACTTAAGAATCCCTAATAAGATGATGTGAGCTCCTAAGTTTGACTATTCTTGTGCACTAGAATTAGCTAGAGTATAAAAAAAATAATAGGTGCATTTGATGGTCTAGCTTCTTTATAGCCCAGTACATTTAACTACTAAGGGACTCTTGATTAAATTAATGGATGAATTTCATTCAGAGTTGAAGTCAAATGATAAATTGTTTGAAATGTCCTTCCTGTGGCCAGCCACATAAATGAACTATTATTTGCAAGCATGTCAATGCAACATTACTTAGAATCAAACAGAGGGTAAAATGTAATTTTTCATTTATAAAATTTTCAAATAAAGTTCCCCTTCCCTCAGAGGTTTTTCATATTAAAGGTTTGGTGCCAGGTTTCTTATATACTGTGTTCTCATTGTATATTTATGTTATCTTAGCTACAGGTGTTGTTAATCTTTTTCTTTCTGCTAATAACAGCAAAAAAAAGTCAGAGGATTTGCCATATGAAGTGAGAAAGGCTCAAGAAATAAATCATTTATTTGGTCCAATTGATAGTGAAGATTCCTATGACATTATTTTTGACCTTCACAACACTACTTCTAACATGGGGTGCACTCTTATTCTTGAAGATTCCAGGAATGACTTTTTAATTCAGATGTTTCATTATATTAAGGTAATGTCGATGTTATTAATTTACAAATTAGCCTAGGACCTGTAATTTTAAGTTGATTATAGATGTTGAAACAACCAGAAAAGGGTGAGGAGGGAGAGTCCAAGAGAAATGGGGGACTGAGGGGAGCACCACAATAGAAGCAGCAGTGACAGGCAGAAGAAAAGGAGAAGAAATGAGCAAAATAATAAATATAATGAAAAAATAATAGAACATATGAATCATTGTATCTATAAAATTTAAATCTTTTATTAAGACTATGACAGTAATCATGGGTTTTTCAGTAAAATTAATACCAAAATGTTGAAGTGGTTGAAGTGGCTCAATTACAGTTTTGAGAAGTTTAAAAGATAGTCATTTAATATTGACTAAAGACCAGTGATAAAAAGATTGACTGTCTTTAGCCCTGTCTTTTTGTTTGATTCGTATACCCCAACAAACATCTGATCTTTCAGTACTTCATATAGCTAATCATCTTAAGGCTCAGAAATCTACAAGATGAAAAAATCAGCAGTTCAGTGCCTATAACAAGAAGAACTGCTAGAAAATAACTGTCAAACAAAACACAAATAATAAACTATATGATTATTTCTATGTAATGGATAGCCTTCGTTCCAGAGAGCTAGTATGAGCTAGTATGATTTAATGAAAAGTATGTGACCCATATAGCCAGTACCTGGGTTCAAATCCTGATTTTCTCACTTGCTAACCTTGAACAAGATAATCAACTTCCTTGCTTTCCTTGTTTTATAAAATTGGCATAATAACAACAGCTATCCCATATGACCATTATAAGCCTTACATAAGAAAAAAAAATCTTAATGCATTTAGCTGAGTGCTTTTAGCAGATAGTAAGGATTAACTGTTATTTTTGTTTCCTTGAATTAGTGACATTGACTAGATAGTAGTTCTGGTAGGAAATCATAATGCAGTATCTTTGTTGCTCACTGAAGGGAGAGCTGAATACTTTGTATGCTGCCATTGTCATCAAAACCAAGAGGCCTGTCTTGAATTACTCAGATAAGTGGGGGAGTTACTTGCCATCTGTAGAGACCTGGCCCACAAGGGTAGAAACAGAATTCTTTAAGAGACCCATAGTAAGCTAAATACTCAGTGTAACCAGTGATGAAAACAAAAATAACGAAAGTCATTCAGAAGAAGAATTTATTCATATACTTTGTTCATGGTTCTGGAGAATTGTTTAATGTACATTTTATCCAGAAAGTTACATATAATCCAATTTTATATGTAGTTGGAGTTTAGAATGTGTTTCATAAAGTTGTCTTACTAATCTCAGTTGATGAAGTTAAACATACTGAAGGCATTATTGACTCTGACAGCAAAGAGAACAAGGCATATGGTCTTTACATAACAAGAGCATGTTTTATATTCTTTTCAGATGTCTTTGGCTCCATTACCCTGCTATGTTTACCTCATTGAGCATCCTTCTCTCAAATATGCAACCACTCGTTCTATAGCCAAGTATCCTGTTGGTAAGTCACATTTCCCACTGTCACAACTAAACAAAATATGTCTGAGATGAAACTCTGAGAAAACTAATTTAAAGACTATTTGCAGCTACTTTGCTTATCATTATGGCTTATAATTGTCAAGTAATAAGCAAACTATCCCCAGGCTGTCTCTAACTATATCAGATTTCCTCACTTTCATTGACCCAACTTTCTACATTCCAGAAAGAAGCCCTGAGCTAAAGGAATTTGAGTCTTTTATATAGGTAGTAAGCAACCTGCTTTTTGCTCAAGCAAGACACCAGCCCTATCTTCAAAGGGTATTCAGTGTACAAAATTCTTAAAACAATAATCTGGAGCCAAGGCAGTCAGTATCTTGCTGGCAAGACTTGCAGAAATACAGAAGACTCATGGAAAATTCTCTCCCAGCATCCCTCTTAGCAGCTGCCTTGCAGTAGAGTCTCTGATAACCTGTGTTTCTTATCCATTCACATGTATGCCCTGTCAGTTACTGATCTGTGAATTTGTCTTTACCTTTTGGTAACTTCCAGCACACAGGCTTGCACTGTCATACACCCTCTCCGACAGTCTCTTTTTTCTACATTCCATTCTCATTCCTGAGTGACGTACCAGCATAATTGTTTGCAGACCACACTGTAATCTTTAAGATTGCTGTTGTCCTGCAGTCCATGGGGTCACAAAGAGTTGGACATGACTTAGCGACTGAACAACAGCAACACAACTTAGAAGTAGATTTAAAGTTATCTTGGTTATTTGCTTTTGATAATTTTGGTGCATAATCAAGGGATCAATTGAGGCAACCTAAGTGACCAAGTGTAGGTAATTATTTGAAACAAATCAAGTGCTTAAAAATAATGGATAAAGATCTATGACACCAAATAAAGCATAAGATTTCCAGTCCTTGCTTTATTTCATTTATGGGCAATGTTGCTGTTAGTTAGAACAAATATTTATTGATATATTTGGCTCTTAAAAATAGATCCAGGGACTTCCCTGGTGATTCAGTGGTTGAGACTCTGCCCTTCTACTGCAGGGTGCCTGGGTTTGATCCCTGGTTGGGGAATTAAGATCCTGCATGTAGTGTGGCCAAAAAAAAAAAAAAACCCACTCCTCTGAAAATAAAGCCAAATGTTTCAGTATGGGGGAATAGTAAGATCATTATAAATAATTAGAACTATTATACCTACTTTACTAGATTATTTGGAATATTTTTATATCATCCAGTCATGGGCAGAGGGGACACTTAAGATCAGAGAGACACTCTCTCCAGCTCAATATTTTGTAATACTTCTATGACTTTAGATGGGCATCCCTGGTGGCTCAGCAGTAAAGAATCCACCTGCCAATGTAGGAGTCACGAGTTCAATCCCTGGGTTAGGAAGGTCCTCTGGAGAAGGAAATAGCAACCCACTCCAGTATTCTTGCCTGAGAAATCCCCTGGCAGGCCATAGTTTTCTGGGGTCTCAAAAGAGTCGGACATGACTTAGTGACTAAACAACAACAACATGACTTTAGGCGGCACAAGATGTGCACTGTAATTTCAAGCATCATATGCCAACATGGCAGTATCTGGTGGAAGAAAGGAAACTCCCAGGAACTCCCCTGTGGACCTTCCGTTATGGCCAGTTATTCGGAACTGAGTCATATATGCATTCTTCAATTAATTACTAGGGCTAATGGAGTACTATGATTGAGCAAAACTGTTCTGTGTTTACCCCTGAGTTGGAAACCCAACCAAAATCAGGACTCTGTCAGCAAGGAGTAGATGGGATGAATTTTGGGTAGGGAAGCAATAATCCACGAACACATTTTCACATATTTACAAATCATTTATGCATTGATGCATACCTTAGCCACACTTATACCATATTCTTAAATATATGCCCAAACATATCCAGAAAAGCTAAACACAAAAGTGAAAAATGAAGATAAAAGAGAATACAGTAAGATTTTGTGAATGGGGAAATAACAGAAGTGCGTGAAAATAGGATAGGTGGAAAAGAATGTATATGAATTGATGGAAAGGATTGGATGATGTTATATTGGTAAATAGTTTTATAAATGAATAAGGTGATGATTGTAATGATAACAGTGTGGGAGACTTGGACAGGAGGGAAAGGACTAAGTAAGTAGTTTAGAGAAAAATAGTTTGTAGATTTATGGAACAATGCTTGACAGCCACAGGAAGTAGACCTGATGGTATGGGAATTAACTTTATTGGGATGAGAAGAAATGGATACAGATTTTTTCCACAGAACATTAAAACCATTGACTATCATGGCAGGTTGGGTTGTTATGTTAAAGGCAAGAATATTGCTCCAGGGTCACATAGATTGCCGTTTGACTTAAATCCATGGCTTGTTTAGTTTAGCTTTCTATTACTAAATAGATGTGTTTTCTCCCACAAGCTGTGTCTGTGACAGTTTCTCTTCGTGGTCATTTATTATTTTGTCAATATAAAGTCTGCTCCTTTTACTATATTATGATTTTTAAAAATTTTGACAACATTGAAGGAAATTTAGAGAAAAAAAGACCCACAAGTCCTTACTACTATAACACAACTCTTTGATTTTCTTATGTTCTCTCCCAGTCTTTATTTACCATGCGTGTAACTTGTAAACGTTCTGTTTTATTTATTGCCTAATATCATGTCTCACATATTTTCCATTATGCTACATGGTCTGCCTTTTTAAACATTTTTAATGATGTGATTCTAGATCTTGATTATGAAAATGCTCAGTCTTATGTACTAACACATGTAAATGTGACTATCTCCTCTTCTGTACCTAGGTATAGAAGTTGGTCCCCAGCCTCAGGGGGTTCTGAGAGCTGATATTCTAGATCAAATGAGAAAAATGATTAAACATGCTCTTGATTTTATACATAATTTCAATGAAGGTAAGTAGTAGGCAGAAATTGTTTCTTTGTTAGCTTGTGTGTGTGCAAATAAATCAGGAAAGGAAGATGAGATGGAGTACACATAACGACTTAAACCACTAAACAGTGAAATAACAATGGGACCTAGGTCAAATTTGCCACGTTTGTGATATCGTTGTTTTTTAAAAAAGATTTAGTCTTAAATCTTTTATCAGCCATTCTTCAATGACCAGTGTAGACACATTCAAGAAAAGCAGCTACCAAATAAAGTTTCACAAATGAAATCTTCATTTTCCTATTAATGTCCATTTTAAAAAGCAAAGAAATACCAAGAAATACAGATGTCCAATAAAGAGATGAAAAGATGTCCAATATCACTAGTAGTCAGAGAAATGCAAATTAAAATACAAAACCATTTTCTCCCATTAGATTGGGAAAATAATCTCTTTTCTGCCTTGGATAAGCGCTTGGAGACCTATGAATAAATTCTGAATACATACTTCAGGAGAAACATCTTATAATAGAGGTTAGCTGAGGAGATGATTGAGGATGTTGAAGAGTTTGAAAACCATAATAAAAATAATCCCAAGGGTGCACATAGAAGTTCAGTTTACAGAGTACATTCACATGTATCCTCATGTATCTGACAATATTTGAGTGCTGGTTGATAAAATTAAAGGCACTTAGGCTGGCAAAAAGGAGTCTTAAGGCCAATTTTATTTTAGAGTTTCAGAAGTGTTATATTGGAAAGGAATTAGACAAGTTTTCTGTGATTCAGAGGGCAGAATAGAATCTGTGCACTAATGTTATCTAAGAACAGAAATTTCTAATTAACAAAGCTGACCAACAGTGGAGCAGACCACACTTTGTGAGGCTGTTCAAGCAAGAGCAAGATGACCACTTAGCCAGAAAGATACACAGAATACTCAAGCATCAATGGAAGTTAAGCATTTGAGAGCCGTTCCAGCTCTGAGATTCTAAGTAGCAAAAACATGTTCCTTTGTGTTCTACCACTTTCTTCTTTCTTCCGAGTGGACCTTCTGGTTTAAAGAAATGACATCTGATGTTTCCGTCTTCATCTTGGAAAATTTGGTAGATTGTAAAAATGGCCACAAATTCTTCCCTTCCCTGCTTTCATGTCCTAGCTAGAGATAGAATCTATTTTCCTGCCACCTGGATCTAGCTTGGCCAGATCCAACATGTCTTATACCACAGAAGAGATTTGAAAAGAACTTGCACATCAGGGCTTGCTGTCTCGCTGCTCTTAGGAACCTTGCACTGTCATTTTGTGAATCAGTTCACCTAGCCTGCTGGATGATACAAGACCATGAGGCTGAAGACTGAGACCTCCCAGCCAATAGTTCTGCAGCTCCAGCTGAAGGCCCATCAAATGCCCAGATATGAGAGCAAAGTCATCTTAGATCGTCCAACATCCTGCTGACCTGCCAGCTCACCACAATGCATGAGCAAGCCGATTAGAAATCAGCCGGTCCAGCCTAGACCAGAGGGACTGCCCAACCAAACCACAGAGTCATGAGCTAAACTAGAGGGTTGTTTTATGCCACAAAGTTCTGGCATAACATATTATGCAGCAGAAGCAAACTGGTACAGAAGTGATGGCAGGATATCTGAATTCCACCCTGGCTGCACTTTCTGCACTAAGGGGAAAGGAAGAGTTTCCTTTGGATTTCAACCATAGCACACTGTGGGCTCTATGCTGGATGAAAGTTAATCCTGTTTATTCAGAGGTTGCCTGGTATAAACGTAAACTACCCCTTTTCCAAGTTTCTGGGCACTGGGTTGTTTAATGTTGCTGCTGCACTGTAAGTTTCACTCCACTATGAGCAGACTGGCTATATCCCAATATCTCACTGTTCAAGAGCTGCCCAGATGTTTAACATACTTAGTTACGAGGAGGAGCACAATGGTGAAGTCATCTAACCTGCTGAACGTCCTCCTGAAGTTACACAGTCACAGGATGTCAGAGCTGGAAGTGGCCCTCCAAGATAAACTGATGTGAAACCTTCATCTGACAGGTAAAGAAAGTGCACGTCGAGAAGTTAAGAATCTTGCTCAAGCTGACACAGCTGGGAGGTTGGAGCACAGGTGTTCGGCTCCCATTCCTGGCCTCTCTCTGCCCTGCACTGACTTTTTAAGTTCTGCTTTCCACCTCTGTCCTACCTCTGTGCACTTGTGGACCCTGTGCTGGTAGGAATCATTCAAGAACATCCGTTGGTTTAGTGTTGTTGTGAACATCCTTAACTAAAATTTTACGGAGTCATATAACACCCTGAATAGCCAAAGCAATCTTGAGAAAGAGAAACAAAGCCGGAGGCATCACACTTCTGACTTCAAAGTCAAAGTCACTCAGTCATGTCTTTCTCTTTGTGACCCCCTTGGACTGTACAGTCCATGGAATTATCCAGGCCAGAATACTGGAATGGATAACCATTCCCTTCTCCAGGGGATCTTCCCAACCCAGGGATTGAACCCAGGTCTCCCACATTGTAGGTGGATTCTTTACCAGCTGAAGCCCCCAACTTCATATTACAAAGCTGTTGTAATTAAGCCATATAGTGTTGGCATAAAAAGAGACACACAGATCAATGGAATGGAGTGGAGAGCCCAGAAATAAACCTGTGTATATATGGTCAATTAATATACAACAAAGGAGCAAAGAATCTACAGTGGAGAAGGGGCAGTCTCTTCAATAAGGAGTATTGGGGAAATTGGACAGCTACATGTGAAAGAGTGAAATGACCACTATCTTAAAGACCATACACAAAAATTAACTCAAAATGGATTAAAGACTTGAACATAAGAACTGAAGCTATAAAACGTATAGAATAAAACATAGGCAGTGAGCTTCCTGAAATAGGTATAGGTCTTGGCAATTTTTTGAATCTGACACCAAAATTAGAAGCAACAAAGGCAAAAATAAATGAGACTACGTCAGACTAAAAGCTTCTGCCCAGCAAAGGAAACCATCAACAGTGTGAAAATACAATCTACTGAATGGGAGAAAATACTTGCAAATTACATATCTGATAAGGCACTAATATTCAAAATATATAAAGAACTCATACAACTCAATAGTAAAAAATATATATATATATTTAAAAATGAGCAGAAGATCTGAATAGACATTTTTCCAGAGAAGACATACAGATGGCCAACAGACACATGAAAAAATGTTCTACATCATTAGTCACCAGGGAAATTAAAACCACAATGAGAGGGGAAGGGGGTAGGATGAAATGGGAGATCGGGATTGATGTATGTATACTACCATGTGTGGAACAGATAGCTAGTGGGAGCCTATGGTATAGCTCAAGGAGCTCAGCTCAGAGCTCTCTGGTGACCTAGATAGGCCGGATGGGGCAGTGGGGTGGGAGAGAGAGCTAAGAGACCAGGGTTATTTGTATATGTGTAGCTGATTCACTTTGTTGTGCAGCAGAAACACATTGAAAAGCAACTATACTCCAATAAAACATTAAAAAATAAAATAAATTATAAAAAGCCGTAATAAGATATCACCTTGCTCCTTTTAGAATGGCTATTATCAAAAAACAAGAAGTAAGTTATGTTTGAAGATATGGAGAAAAGGGAACTCTTGTGTACTACTGGTGGGAATCTAAGTCGGTGCAACCTCTATGGAAAACAGCATAGAAGTTCCTCAAAAAATTAAAAATAGGATTACCATATGATCCCAGAAATTTCACTTCTGGGTGAAATTGTGTTTTATGTACTTTCTGAGTGTTAAATTTCACAATAAAATGGTTTAAAAGCAAAAAGGATACTGTGTTCTCCCTGTAACTGTCTGTTTTCAGTTTTTGGTTGTTCTTCCTTTTTTGAAGTATCAACTTCCCTTTTATCAGGAGTTTTTTTTTAAGTTGCTATTTTTATTTATTTATTTATTTATTTTGCCACAGGAAAAGAATTTCCTCCCTGTGCTATTGAAGTCTATAAAATAATGGAGAAAGTTGATTATCCCAGGAATGAAAGTGGAGAAATTGCTGCTGTTATCCACCCTAAACTGCAGGTAATGGTTACTGTTTCTTTTAAATATTTAAAATAATGATGCTCTACCTTTGAGTGGAGGGATTCCCAGGTGACTCAGTGGTAAAGATTCCACCTGCCTATGCAGGAGACACAGGAGATGTGGGTTCAATCTCTGGGTTGGGAAGATCCCCTGGAAGAGAAAATGGCAACCCACTCTAGTATTCTTGCCAGGGAAATCTCATGGACAGAGAAGCCTGGCAGGCTACAGTCCATGGGTTTGCAAAGAGTCGGACACAACTGAGCGTGTTCGCAGCTTTGAGTAGAACTTTACAGTCCATGGTGACTCAGACAGTAAAGAATCTGCTTGCAATGCAGGAAACCCTGGTTCAGTCCCTGGTCTGGGAAGATGCCCTGGAGAAGGAAATGGCTACCAACTCCAGTATTCTTGCCCATGGACAGAGGAGCCTGCCCCTTGCCTACAGTCCATGAGGTTGCAAAGAGTTGGACATGACTGAGCAACTAACACTTAACAGTCCATTAAACATTTTACATATGTGAGTTCCTCAATAGATGTTCTCAAAAATACTGCAGTCTAGATAAGGTATTCAGTTCATTGCTGAGTAAATATTTATGGAGTCAATCCTGTGCTGGCTCTACAAATCCTGTGCTGTACATCAATGAATATGGTTTATATTCATGTGGAACTTATAGTCTAGATATACTAAAGTCTAAACTGTGGTCTTGAAGATAACCAGATGCTATAACAGAATAATGAGGTGTGGATGGAGGTCAGAGAACATGAAATTCCTGCTTTAAGTGCAATGGGTAAGAATTATTATATCTATTTTAATATAAGAAAATGGAGGCTCAGAAATTAGATCCTTCCCACAGTCCTGTAGTTATTGATGGCAGATCCAGAACGAAGGTTCTTTGCAATTGGCCACATTGCTACCACCTCCCTGTGATCACTACTGTAAAAGAGCAAACCAATCAGAACCTCCTCCCTTTGGAATGTTTTCTACCTTTTTCCCCTGACCCCTCAAGACCCCAGTATCTATCTGTTCTTTGTCTGGTTTGATCAGTAATGGTGTAATGAAGGGGAAGAAAAGGCTCATAGGAAAGAATAGGAAGTTTAAATCTGGAAGAGGCAGAGGTAAAAGCAAAGAAGAGCAAAGATTCTAAAAATCTAAAACATCCATCTCCCCACACACTAGCAGACCTCAGAAATGGAAGAGAACCAATGGATTGTCTAGCCTGGTACATTCAACCCTGGAGGCACATTGCCTACAGTGCCTTTTAGAAAATAACAACGCCAGGTCCCCTCTTTGGGATAATCTGATCTTATTGGCCGGGGTAATTAGAGTGGGAAACCACTGATCCAGTTCAAACTGCTATTTAATGACCCTAATGATATTCACTCAGACTTACAACTTAATAAAGCAGCCTGCCCCAAAATACAGACTAGTGGAGCAGATCCAGCTTTGTGCCTTAGTGGGATCCAGGTGGAAACTTGAAGGAGCCTGAGGCAATGTTTTAAAAGACAGAAAGATAAAGATTTTGAACCTCTTAAATGATTCAGTTATCATAATGTGGGAACACATATAGGAAATATTCACCTATCTTGTGCTTTTCCCAGGCTTTTCCCAGCCCATCCCCACCTTCTCCCACCAATCCCCACCAGAATAGAGCCATCTAGCATGCAGGCACAAGGCACATTTTTTATCCCCAACAGTAGAATGTCTTATATACAGAAGACTCTTAATGAATATTTCCTAAATTTTGCTGAGTGGAATTTAACTTCAACTAGCAAGAGATAAAATTTGCACTTAAGAACATGTACATGTAGTTTTGGTTTTTGATATTATGAACCTCTTCAGCAACATTCAAGGTGAACTTGATACCAAAGCAGGCTGTAATCATGTGTCAGTTATAAAAATAAAAAGGGGAACTCTTAAAACTGCTGCCAAAACAAACTGCTGAATCTCAGTTTAGTCACATACCTCTAACTTGTCTCTTTTAAAAGAAGATAGTGCTGTCCTTTTGGTTGTCTAGCCTGACATAAGAATTTTTAAATTTATTTTTTATTGAAGTATAGTTGATTTTTTGACGGGACTTCCCTGTAGCTCATACTATAAAGAATCTGCCTGCAATGCAGGAGACCTGGTTTGATCCCTGGGTCAGGAAGATCCTCTGGAGAAGGGAATGGCAACCCACTCCAGTATTCTTGCCTGGAAAATCCCATGGACAGAGGAGCCTGGTGGGCTACAGTCCATGGGGTCGCAAAGAGTCAGACACTCCTAAGCAACTAACACTACTGCTACATATAGTTGATTTACAATGTTGTGTTAGTTTCTGGTGTACAGCAAAGTGATTCATATATATATATTAATATATAGAGATAGATATATACATGTATGTCCTTTTTCATATTCTTTTCCATTATACAATTTGTAAAGTAGGAAGAAAACCAAATGTAATTTATGTATGTTGTTTCCTGAAAGGATCAAGATTGGAAACCCTTGCACCCTGAGGATCCTGTGTTTTTAACTCTTGATGGAAAGACCATTTCATTGGGCGGAGACCAAACCGTGTACCCAGTGTTTGTAAATGAGGCCGCATATTATGAGAAGAAAGAAGCTTTTGCAAAGACGACTAAACTAACACTCAATGCAAAAAGTATTCGCTCCTCTCTACATTAGAAATCACTTGTAGCTCATTGTTAGAGAATACCTTGAAAAATTCTATTAGTTTATAAGCTCCTGAAGAGCAGGATTGTGCCTTACTCATCATCATTTCCACAGCTCCTAGCCTGGTGCCTTGCACACAGTGGACATTCAGGTAAATTTCTTGAATGAATGAATGTATTAATGAATGTCTTTTAAAGATATCATACTTTATGTATGTAGCCTATTCAGAGAAGTGCATTTCTTATTTCTCTACAGCTTTATATACCTTATACTTTGATAGTTTAGCGTTCTTAGTAAACAGCCTTAAAATTCAAATTTTAACATCAAAATAGTCCATGGGATTGCAGGGTCGGACACAACTGAGTGACTCAGTACAGCGCAGCACAGATACTATATACAAAAAACTATTAACTTGAGTATAGAGTTAAATATTGTATGCTTTTAGGTAATATAAAAATACTACTAGAAACTAATAGCACAGGGTCACTATTTTAAATTTTTCACATTTGAATTAATGCTAAAGTATTAAAGTCAGTAGCAGCAGTTGTGATAAATGTAGATTTTTAAATGCTCTTATAACGATGAAATGTGAATGAGGAATGAGGGCTGATTGTAAAGGTGACATTATGAATAAATCAAGAAACTCTGAATGGTCCTTTGTCCACTGAGAGTCACCCACACAAAGCATCACAAAGCTTCATGCTCGGGCACACCCACTTGTTCTGCGCTGACCCCAGGAAGCCAGGAGCCTCCTTCAGACCTCTCACAAACCCCCCCAGAAGCTCATGTTCTTTCCCAACTTGCAAGGCATGTCCTTCCCGGCTGCCCCTTCTTACTTTGAAAGAACTCATTTGTCCTTCTTCCTAACCAATGTATAAGAAAGTCTTTGGGCTCCAGCAGTGTAGGTGGTAAAGACAGAGCTGAGGGCAGTGGACACTAGTAGAAACGCGGCCCAAACCCATCTCTGGTTCACAAATGCATTCTTTTAAGACATTCCCTCCTGTCCTAAATGTCCAAATCCCCCACTCTCAAGATTCTTCTCCTCAAAGGTCCTTGCTCTAATTTTCCACCTCCCTCCCTCTCCAATCCTTGCAAGAGCCTCCCCTCCCCCCTTTCTTAGGCCATACCAGCCAAGTAAAGAACATTTTATCCTGTGATTTGGACCCCAAGGAACCCATGTTTAGAGTTTCAAATATATTTACAAAATCATACTAATATTGTCATTATCTGTAATGTGTATATGTCTATATCTATAATTTCATTCTTGCAAAACAAATCCCATTAAGCCAATTTCCTTCCATATTCAGTGCTCTATAGCACACAATTAAACTGCTTTGAAACTTTCAGCATTTATTTTTGCACTTTACCAAAATTATTTTCTTTGGAATACTCTCCTCTTTCTGAATTTTTTAGTAAAAAAAAATTTTTTTATCAATTGGCTTTTGTATATAACAAGCTTTACCAAGCTTCCTTTTCCCACTGTGTCCTATGCACAAGTTCAATTTTTCTAGGTCAACTTTTCCATATATATGCTTTGGGGAAAAGTACTTTATTTTCCCATCAAACTTTAGTTAGTTACAAAATTTACAATGTGCAGTTTAGGCCACTGTGGTTTCAGTTTTTGTATTGATTCTTTCTATCAAGCCTAATTTTCTCTGACTCAATATTTATAGTCTTTAGAGTTTCTAATTAGATGTTATTTTTTTTAATCTATAACATATTGCTGTATGACTTTAGCCACTTTCAATTTCATTTTGACTATTTCTAATGGTCTACAGACTCAGTTTTACCATTTATAAAATAGGGATATTCCTAATAATAGTGACCCTTTCATGAGATTGTTGTGAGGATTAAGTGGGCTAATGCATACAAGTACTTACCACAGTGCCTGGCACAGAATAATAAATTATTCAAGTTGAAATTCCTAACACAAAAAGCCCTTTATGATCTGCCCCCCTCTCCCCACAACCTCTCTAGACTCATCTGCCTTTAGCTCTTCTCTGTTCCAGGTGGCTGTGCATTGTTTTATTCCTGTGTGTCTTTGCAGAGTCTGGCCCTTCCACCTAGAATTTTCTTCCTTCCCTTCTCTTCCTCCATCCCTCCATCCACAACAGACCTCACCTTATTGAATTCCTATTTTTTCTTCAAACTGCAACTCAATTCTCATTTCATCTATAAAATCTCTCTTGACTTGCCCCTCTGCCCCTCTCTGCTTCTATCCCATCTCGAGGCTATTACCAGTGTCTTTTTCAGTACCTGCAATCTAGTAAGTGTCCTGTGAGTTTAGCTGAGTAAATGAGTGTGCTCAAACATCCCTTCTCTACTGAAACATCTTCATGTTCCACCACTGTCTCTGCCTTCTCTTTGCCTTCTTCCCTTCTTTCCCAGTCACTTTCCGAGTATCTCCTTCACTCTCAGGTGGGAATCTCTCATTCCACACTCCAGACTGTTAGTATGTCCCAATGGCAGGTGGAAAAATACACCCTTTTAAGTCTGTAACCCTATGAGGGGAAAAGGAAGTGTTCATATCCAATAATACCCTTGTGTGAAACCTGTAAATGGTTCCCCTAACCCTCAATATGAAATCTCAACGCCTCCCCCACAGCTGGATGAGTCCTGTGCACTCTGGCCTCTGCCTGCCTCTCCAGCCCTGTTCCTAGCAATTTGGCCTTGCAGACTTCTCCATCCTCAAGTTCACCCTACTACCTTGGGGTCTTTGCTTCTCTCCATCTATGGTGCGCAGGTTCAACTGCCCCAGGGCATATGGGATCTTAGTTCCCTGACCAGTGATCAAATCTGTATCCCCTGCACCAGAAGGCAGATCCTCAACCACTGGACCACCATCAGGGAAGTCCTGATACTTATTCCTAAATGTGGTTCAAGGACTTCCTTAGTGGTCCAGTGGCTAAGACTCCACACTCCCAATGCAGGGGACCCCAGTTTGATCCCTGATCTAGGAACTATATCCCACATGCTACATCTAAAAAATCCTTGTGTACCATAACTAAGACCCAGTGCAACCAGACAAATTTGTTTTAATGTGACTCAGGCTAGGCTAACCCACCCTGTTATACAAGCTCATTGACACTACTGGACTAGCACGTACCAGCACACCTCAGAAAACCTGGATCCTTAAGCCCAGGAAAAAGCACTGTGATGTCAACCTGCCATTCCATCTCTCTCCAAGTCTCAAATTCCCCAAGTCTCAATTTTCTCTGTTCTGTTGAATGACTATGGAATACTCATCAAACCATCTACAGAATTGTGGATTAAGATAACCAATATGAATGAAAGCACTTTATAAATAGGTAATTGTACAATCTCAAAGGCTGAAAAAATTGCAAAATATATTTTGGAAGGTAATTTTTCATAATATCAAAAGTCATAAAACTTCATCCTCACTGACCTAGGCATCCCACTTTCAGAATACATCCTATGACAAGGGCACCCACACTTTCTCTATCCATCTACCCGGATAGCACATTCTAGATTATAGACTGAAGCTTGTTTGAACTAGCATGTGGATTATGTACAACTCCCATTTCCTTGCCAGTCAAGAAAATATAGCCCAGTGAAGGGTGTTATTTTGGGAATCGTTTGGATGAAGTAATTGACCAAATGGAGCACATTGCTTATTAATAAATTGTTTGCAAGTTCTACAACCCTTCAAGACACAGCAGCATCTTGGCATTCAAGTTGAAAACTGCCGTTCTTTCAAAATAACTCAAAAGAATGAAAAAAATGCATTTACATATACATTGGGCAATAATGATAGTAATAATATCAGTTCTTTCCTATCCATTCCCTTATTGCCTCCTCATAAAGGTTCTGTGAGGTAAATAGGAGGGAGTTCTACTTCCTGGTCTCCAAGTGGAGCCATGAGTTCATATGCATTCGAAGTGGAGAGCCAGCAAGCGTGATGGATGGACCCCCTGCTTGAGGTCACATGACCTGAACCTGTAACATTTTCAGGCTGTGACTCCTTGCTCATGTCACTTCAAATCTCTAGGTCTCCTTTTACTCAAATTCCTCCCAGTTATTGAGTGGTTTAGATGGAGTACTGGATGTGATGTACTTTGAGATGTACACATTTGCACAAAGGTGGTATGTCTTAGCATGCTGAGCTGGGACCAATAATTGGTTCTTTTAAGTCCAAAAAGTGGCCTTTCCTTTATCCACTCATGTTAAGCAACACCCTAAGATTTCAGTCATCATAGTGGCCCTCCTAAGACAAAGATAAAACATGATCATAACAAGGCAAAATAAATATTTATTAGAAATCATTAAAACATTTCTTCAATGACACTAAAATGTTCTTGCTCCATTTATGACTTCTCTCTTGCACATAGAGTTTCACACACACACAACACTAAAAACAAGGATGTAAATGGAATTTGCAAAGATTAGGCACATTCAGTGAGAACAAGGTAACAATTCTATGTTTGGGACCAAGATCACAGTTAAAAAAAAAAAAAAAAAGGTAAATCGATGCAGAGATGAAGTATGGCTTACAGGCCCACATGACGGTCCATCTATCTGGCCCCTACCCAGAGCCAAAGGACTTAGCCCAGCAGGCCTTGAGGAAGGAAAAGAAGGTCAGTGACACTGGGCTCCAGGGCAGGAGCCCTCTAAGAGCTTAGTGACTTCACAGTACAGCCTTGAACTCCTCCCATCCCCCACCCAGGGAGGAAGGTAAGCACCTTTTTCACTCCACACAGATACATAACTTAATTTCTAGAATAATGGATTCTCCCTGAGGCAGACTTTAGCTAAAGGAAAATTTCCAGCCACAACTATTATCTGAACATGTGAGATTCCATTGCTGGAAAATGCTTTCCCCTTAAATTAGTGAAATGTAAATCACTTAAGATATCCTGATACACCTATGGATTCAGTGTGGTGCAGTGTGTGTATGTGTGGTTTTGTGCACATCTGTATGCACACATTTGAATTTAAAAACCCATCATAGGGATCACAGGGACAGTGCAGACTGCCAGCATGAATTATCTGAGCAAAACCCTAATCCCCTGATAAATGCCAACCACAAAGGCAGAATCAAATTTACCAAAGAACTGTGCCAAAAAACTAAAATATCACAGAAGGACATCTGTGGTCCAGAATCAGAACATTCCAGCTTCAACAACTCTGATACAATCTCCTGCATGACTTTGAACAAGTCCACTTTCCTTTCAGAGCTTTGGTCTCCAGGTGTGAAATAAAGAGAACTGGTCCTTTTAAACCAATGCTCTGACTCATCACCTTCCTTGGTAAATCTGCCTAGGCTGGGACCATCTAGGATAAAAGCCTTTGGGGGACACCCCTGTCAGGAGGAAGATTCCGTATAGAAAATGGTCCTGCCAACAAATTCCATCCAGATCCATAGACAGGTCTCCATATGCATTAGAAAACAAAGATCCAGTTATTGACTTCTGTCTGTCTAACCTCCCAGCTTTTGTTCAAGTGGGAAGTGAAGAGTTATACAGTTTTATCCATGCATACCCAAACCAAAACAATTCTGAATTCCCAGCTGCCCAGAGGAGAGTGTGGAGCCATGGATCCGAGTTGCTGCCCTTCAAACCAAGACATCTTGTCTGTTCAGGATAAAGGCAATAAGGTAATTCCAGGTAACAGGATGCTACCCTCCAGGCTAAAAGGAGCTTCAAGTTCATCTGATGATGATCTTTAACAATACCCCTAATATACGCTCAACCAACTTCTGCTTAAATATCCCCAGTATCACAACTTCCCTGGAGGTCCAGTGTTTAAAACCCCACGCTTCCAATGCAGGGAGTGTGGGTTGCAAATGCTCTGGGGGGTGTGGCCAAAAAAATTTAAAAAGAAACAAAACATAACATCTGAAGAAGTTGTTGGACTACATTGAACCATAAGCGTGTTCCCTGAAGCTTCCAACTTTTGGGCACTAGTTCTGTTCATCTACAACACATCTGGTCCTTCTGCCTCTGTGATAATCCCCCTAAATCTTCCCTTCTGCAAGAAACATGCCTAGCCCCTTCCTCCCCTGCTCACACCTGAACCTGGTCTGACCACTACAGCTTGGAGCACTGGGCAGCTCCCTGGGTCATCTGAGAGTGCAGGGGCTGCTGCAGATTGCAAGCCTGCATCTTTGACTCATCTGACCCTGACCCAGCCCATCAGGGACACAAGGGCCAAGATTCTGCCCACCCAGGTAAGCTGGTGCACACAGCAGAGAAATGGGCCGGGAGTGGACTGCGTGGCCTGCACTCCTTAGTTTGCATCTAGTTCGGTTAACTAACCAACAGCCAAGTTATCTAAAAGCTGAATGATTTTGTGCCTTTTAAAATTAAAGTTCACGGTTAATATCATTACAATTTCACCTCGAAAATCCCACAGGACTGTGATGACCTAAAGGGGTGGGATGTGGGGGTGGGGGCAGGAAGGAGTTTCAAGAGGGAGGGGATATATGTATATTCGTGGCTGATTCACACTGTTGCACTGGAGAAACTAACACAACTTGTAATGCAACTATACTCAAAAAAAACAATTAAATTCCCCACACGAATCTTTTACCAGATAACTGAGTCAGAGTGGATTTTCTGGTTGTTTAGGTTCCAATAGGACTTCTTTACTGGCTCAGATGGTAAAGAATCCCCCTGCAATACAGGAAACCCAGATTCATTCTCTGGGTCAGGTAGATCCTCTGGAGAAGGGAATGGCTACCCACTCCAATATTCTTGCCTAGAGAATCCCATGACCAGAGGAGCCTGGCAGGCTACAGTCCATGGGGTCACAAAGATATGGACACAACTGATGGACTCACACATTTGAGGCTCCAATAACCTGGAACATTTCTACTCTCTCCACTTCATCTCTGTCCCCAAACTGAGTAATTTCAGGGAAGAAAATCAGAGGATAAGAATCTAAAAATAAGCCCCACGTCTTGGTTCCTCCTCAGACGCCTTCTCCTCTGCTTCAAAATTCACAGTTAAAAAAAAATACTGAATACCAGAGCATTTCAAATATTCTGTAAAATTCCTCCAATGAAAAATACTGATGTGTAAGAGTAACCTCTGAGATTCAAGACCATATAAATAGAGCAGCTGCTATTTCTGTTTCAGATGAAGCCACTATCCCAGCTTGGAAGCCCGCACTGTGCCAGGGCTGGGACAAGGAAACCAGCCAAGATCTTTCACCCAGATCGCAGGCCCTGCCTGGCATGTCTCATGTAGTTTTAAGTATGTAAAGAAAATCTTTTTGTCCTTGTTCTGGCCACCTTGAGGCCAAGTATATAATACTTAGGTCCAACCCCCAAATCCTAAAATCTGTTTCTCAGCTTTTAAAATCACACACTTCATTTGAAGTAATTTTCATTTAAAACTGAAATGTCCTTTCTCTACTGAAAAGAAAAACCTTATGTTAATTACGCTTCTAGAATCATCTCTCAGTTAGGAGACAGTCTAAGCCTTGAGTACCAAGGCCACTTATTCCGAGGGTGTTTTCCTGCTCCCTGAAGTTTCCAGAAGCTCATTCCCCTCTGACCCCAGAATACCAGGCTCAGCTCAGTCCCCTGTACATTCTATGATGGGGTCAAGGGGCCCTTAAATTCAGGAGGTCCAGTCACAGTAGGGGAGATGGTAGAATATTAAGGCTGGGGCTAGGGGCTGTCAAGACATTGACAAGACATTGTCAAGACACTGGGAGAAGAAAGACTCCTCCCTGTGCTCCTTGGGCCCCTGCCCTGCCATCCTCTCTTCCAGCCAAGCTGACCTGCAGTTGGTAAACACAGGAGCTTCACCCAGGATTCAGGGCTCCTGGAACTCCCAGGCTCAGGAATGCTGGCCATAGGTTTTTACAAGCTCTTTGCTGAATAACAAACTCCAGGGTGTTTCCCACTCAGACAAACTGACAACTGCCTCTTGGTTCAGTCACCCACTCAGCGTGAGGGTGCATTCCTCATCTCTGCAGGCAGAGCCAGGCTCCATCACTCTGCAAAGCACGCAGCGCCAAGTCCAGCACCCAGGCTCCAGCATCAGATGGCCCACACACACGTGAGCTCTGAGTCCTGCTTTTACACTGAAGTTTCCGGAAATTCATCTATTTCCTCAAATGCGTTGAGGGTGGTTTTGCTGTTGCTCCTGGAAGAATCTTGGATTTTGTTGAAATCTGCTTTAAAGACAAAACACTATTTTACAAATACAGCACTCTGTAAGTTGTGCCTCCAGGTCGGTCTTGGCCCACCACTTGACTTTCAGAAATGTTTCCAACTCAGGTTATGAAATGAAAGAGCTGGAAGGGATTAGTTCAACCCTCCTCCCCCATTTTACAGATGGGGAAAATCAGGGTCCCCTAGGGTCACATGGTCAGGCAGGAGGGGCATCATGCTTCCTGACATCAGTGGTACCTGTCCGTCTCCCGGGCCCCGGATCTTCATTGAGGAAGGAGACATGAGTTTTCCATTCAGTCCACTTCACCTCGTTGATCCTGAGGGTGTGATAATCATTCTCACTATTCCCCAAGCACACTTCATGAAATACAAATATACTAGCACCGCATTTGGGGTGTCCTCCATGGGGATCAGGAAGACTCCTGACTTGTGTGTTCATATCAGTGTTACTGGGGCTTGAAACCTGCCCAAGTGCCCATCTTCCCAGGCCTCCAGGATCAGTCTCCTCCTAGGATATGGGACCCAGGAGCTCAGAGAGGCATAAATGGTCCCCTGTGAACCCACACAGGGGAGACAGAAGGACAAAGGGTGCCAGGCTGGCAGATCTCTTCTAAGGCAGGTACTGGGCAGGGAGAAGCCACAGAGGCAGCTCCAGAAGGGCAGAGCCTCCCTCCTCTCCCTTCTGAGGCTCAGGAAGCCTGTCCCAGGGCCAGCGAACCCAAACAAGCAAACTCCATCTTCTGAGGAGGCCATGGTCCGACAAGCAAATGGCATGGCAGCACGGCTTCGCTACCGTTCACACCGCATGCTTCTTCACCACCCGAAGGGCACCAGCACAGGGCCCTCCTCCCTCTGTTACCGCAAACACAGCCGGAAGTCGTCCTCTGCCACTTTACACAGCTCCCCCATCCGGAATCTGCTCCTCAGCCACTCTGGCAGTATCTTCTCAAACTCCAAGATGGTCCTGGCTCTCTGCAAACGCAAAGGAGCCTAAGAGTGTCACCGAGGAGCCAGCGCCGAGGCGCCACGCGAGCGTGGGTGTGCCCACACACGTACACACACACACAAGAACTCGCACACACAAGAACACACACACACCACCAAACAGCCCAATCCACCTGCACAGAATGCTTACTTAATGCATAGATCCTGAGGATGTGGCTAACCTTCGGAATTGAAAAACCCAGGGCCTTCCCCGATGGTCCAGTGGTTAAGACTTCACCTTCCAATGCAGGGGTGTGGGTTCAATCACTGGCCGGGGAGTTGAGATCCCACAGGCCTCAAGGCCAAAAAAAACCCACGTAATACAGAAGCAATATTGTAACAAATTCAACAAAGACTTTAAAAAATGAAAGAGAAAGCCAGGTAAGTTTGGGAAAGGTGTTAAAGTTATTTTAAACATCACATAAACTATGTTTATGGGAGTCCAGAGTTTCCTAACTGAAAGGTAGGATTCTGAGCTCCTGTGGTGAAAGGAGGTTCAGACATCACACAGCCCGATTCCATCTCAGGCTAGGAATCCCCTCAGCAATTTTCCCAACCATAATTTGTCTAATCTCCCCTGAATATTATTGACAATCCATTAAGAAGGCCCTAACAATTAGTAACTTCCTTGTATCAGATCAAAGCTTTTCTCTCTCTTGTTCCCCATATGTCCCATTTCTGCCTCTGGGATCACAGAAGAAAGTTGCTCCCTCTTTCCCAAGTAGCTCTGCCAGAAGGGATTCTCACCTTCTTCAACCCAGTTTTGACACTGTCTGTTGTGAGGCATGGTTGCCAGGCCTCTCCCATGCCTGGACCATTCTGTGGGTTAGTGTCCCCAGTGGGTAAGGCCCACAGCATATAAGGAGTATTGGAGGGAAGCAGAATTGTCACCTCCATTGTCCTATGCCCTATACTCCTCTTAATGCAACCTAAGGTCACACTTCAACAGCCACATATCACACCATTGTCTCTAAGCAGAGCACAGCTATAAGCCTGAGTTCCTCTCCCACCTGACATTGTCCAGCCACACTCCCTGGACCCTTTACTCCAGGAACCTACCTTCCTTGAACCTGGCCAAGCAGAGGGAGTTTATGCAGGTCTCCAGGCCCCAGCCTAGATCCACCGGTTCCATGTGCTGAGCTGAGTCCCCATGACAAGCTCCCCCCAGAGGGGACTCTGCCAGGCTCACCTGTAGGCGCCAGATGCGCTCGCTCTCCTTGGACACGTTCTCCACTGTCTCCCCCATCAGGGCTATGAGCATGTTGAGGAGGAGGACAAAGGTGAGGATGACGTAGGTGATGAGCAGGAACAGGAAGAGGATGGGGTACTTGGAGTTCTGCTGGATGTTCAGGTCACCCAGGCCTATGGTGAGCTTGAAGAGTTCCAGCACTGCGTCGCTGAAGCTGCCGTAGGAGCTGCAGTTCTCATGGCTCTTGGGGCACTTCTCGATCAGTGAGGCCAGAGCTGTGAGGACATAACAGGGTGTTCTCTGCAGCCTCTCTGTCCAGTTAATTGCTCGGTGAACTCATGCATACCTGCACGTGCACACATGCACACATGGACACACATGCACACATGCACACTGCTGTCTTCTTCTCTCTGGTTATTGAAATCGCATCTCCAGCCTCAGTTCCTCTGGAAGCCTCATCAGGCTGGTGTTCTGCCCTGACTGACTGCAGAAAGGCCTTTCTGCCTAACAAAGCCCAAACTCTTCTCTCCCTTCTCTACCCCACCGTTCAGCCCTTGACCAATCAAGGGCTTGCAGAGTAGATAATTGAAATCTATAATCTGTGTGTCCCTGGCTCCTCAACCAGGCTTGGAACTCCCAACTTCCAGTAGCCTGGGCTGCCTCTCCCAAGACTGGCAGGTCCTGAGTCTCCTTCTAATGCTGTGTGGCATGATCTCTGGTCACAGCCTTGGACTCTTTCTTCTCTTCTTCCCAATGCACTACAGCAGTGGCTCATTACTGAATGAATGGATGGATGGATGGATGGATGGATGATCAAATTAATCAGTGAGGAAATGGATGGATGAATAAACAAGCAAGTGAAAGAGCAAATGAATAAGCAAACTGGGACCCAGAAAGTGTACCAGGCAGATCCAATGAGCTGCCTAGTTTCAAATGCCAGTGATAACTGGGGAAAAAAACTGACGTGGGAAAACAAAATCATATCTCTTTACGAAGAGGTTAGAAACAAAATCAGGTTATGCTTTTCCCTCTGTTGTAAACAGAGAGGTTTTTAAGAGGGTTTCCCATCCCCGGTCCCCAGAAGACCAGAGGCTCTCACAGATATATCTGAAGCAATCTATGACAGTAACATGACGTGGAAGGCCAAAGGAGGTTACTTCAATGCATTACTCTACTCCTATTTTTCAAAGACCGTCAATCACATTTCTGCAAACTTTAACTTCCCTATCTGTCAGTTTGGGCCAAAAACACCTGCCAAACCTATCTGAAGCTGCAGGGACACATATGATGGATATGAAGGTGGGAGGCATACCACACAGTGTGGTTGGATAAAAGCAACCTGGTCAAATCCTGGAGTCTCTAAGCCTCAGTTCTCTTATGATCAGAGATGATGATGACTCCTGCCTTGATCAATTCATTGTGAGAAGTAAAGAGATAATCATTGTTGTTGTTGCTCAGTTGCTAAGTTCTGTCTGACTCTTTGTGACCCCATGAACTTCAGCATGCCAGGCTTCCCTGTCCCTCACTATCTCCTGGAGTTTGCTCAGACTCATGTCCATTAAGTCAGTGATGTTATCTAAACATCTCATCCTCTGCCACCCTTCTCCTCTTGCCTTCAATCCTTCCCAGCACCAGGGTCTTTTCCAATGAGCCAGCTCTTTGCGTAGATAATCGTTGGGAAATGCTGATCATGGTGAGCATTCCACTGGTGGCCGATATAATTGTTGCTGAGGCTCCTGCATGCTCTGTCATGTTAATGTCTATATAAAGGGCTTTACAAATGTGGCAGTTGCTATTATTTGTAAATCATTTACCTACTCCAAATCCAAGTAAGAACACGATATATACAAACAAGAACTTCAGAACATCATGCAAAATGACCTACAAAGAAAGAAACACGATTCAAGGGTAAGGTTTGAGCACATATTCGCTACAGATTGATCTCCAGCTTTCCACCCTCTCCCGGGTTTGCACCCCAACCATGCCCTCATTCACTCGGGCCACTCTTCCGTGACCCTCCCCAGATCCTCCCGACACTCCCTCCACAGCTCAGCACTGGGCCCACCTGTTCCAGAAAGGCTCTTCTATTCATCTTCTCCACCCTCCTCCCTCCTAGAACACAGTCTGTTTCTGTCCTTGCTGATACAGGCTGCACATCAGCACCTCTCCTTACAGAATCTCACACTGAGAATCCTCACTCTTCCTGGAAGTGGCCATGTGCTGGGGCCAGCTCACACCAGCTCACAAGAGCTGACTGTCACACTCTCGTGAATTTCCTGAGCTGGTTGCTAAACAAGCCATGACTAAGAATTGGATTGTGTAAACATAATTAAATAAATTACATTAGAAACAAAGATAATAAGTAGTCAAAACATCACTTCCAAGTGACTTTACTACATTTTACAATTATTTAGGCTTCTTTTTTTTTTCTTTTTTGGCCTTCCATGTGGCTTGCAGGATCTTAGTTTCCCTACCAGAGATTGAAATCATGTCCTCCGCAGTGAAAGCCCAGAGTCTTAACCATTGGACTGCCAGGGAAGTCCTAACAATTACCTAGAATTTTAAGGCTGTTTACATCTATTGTAGCCATATGTTGGAAACACTATATAATGATGCTTTACTGTGCTTCCTTTCCCGATTCTGTATTTATGTTGGTAACTAGAAATCAGCCATGGTGGGTGATTTACACCATAGATTTATACCATAGAAACTGGTGAAAGTTACAAGTCAGAGATTGTTGATTGTCTAGATCTGGACTTAAGACAATGATGGAAAAAATGTTAAGGCAGATAAAACTTTAAAAATGTATCCTCTCTGTGGCTGTTATATTGTGAATAGTACAAAAACACTGATGAAATATTCTTCTAGTACATGAAAACTATTATTCAATTCAGCAAATAAGTGTCTCAGGATCATTGACAAACAAATGCAATTTCAACACGTATTCATTCTTTCCTTTTCATCTTACTCCTTAAAGCAAAGGAAAGGACTTCCCTGCTGGTACAGTGGATAGGAATCTACCTGCCAATGCAGAGGACACAGGTTCAATCCCTGATCCTGGAAGATCCCACATGCCATGGAGCAACTAAGCCTGTGCAACAGAACGACTGAGTCCATGCTCTAGAGCTCATGAGCCACAACTGCTGAGCCCATGTACCTCAACCACCGAAGCCCATGTGCCCTAGAGCTGGTGCTCCACAAGAAAAGCCACCGCAATAAGGAGCCCTCAGACCACAACTAGAGACTAGCTCCCGCTCGCTGCAACTAGAGAAAGTCCATGCATAGCAACAAAACCCAGGGTAGCCCCCCAAAATATTTTAATTAATTAATTATTTTTAAAAAGCAAAGGAAAATTTCAGGCAACATTTATATTGGCACAATGCTCACTTGTCAACTGCAGCCATAGGTTGGCAACAGATACAAGTTAAACTAAAATCAACAAATTATTCAGTGAGACTAGACTAACCATGTGGAATTTATAACAAAAAGTATTGTATATGTTATTATTATTTGTAACTTGTGTGCTATACCATCATTTATATGGTAAACATCTATAATAAACCTATCTACATGTATATACATTATATATGCATATTTTCACTCCAAGACCCTGAGCAAGGGCAAAGGGAGACCACGATATTTGAGAGAAAGAGCAGTGGCCTGTCCCTTGGGTGAGTCTCTTTTCCTCTCCAGACCTCAGTTTCCCCATCTGAAGAGTGGGCCTTCTCTGAGGGGCCCCTCCCTGCCCATCTCTGAGGCTCAGCATCCCCAACGCACCTTCTGGATCATGACGCTGTACATGCCCATGGACTGGAACCCCCGCGTGTAGTAGAGCATGTTCGCCCAGCCCAGGGCCATGGCCAGCACGAGGCAGGCGAGGTACTCTTTGTAGGCAAACAAGTACAAGAAGACAGACAGTATCACAAGCACAGCTTGGGCAAAACTGTTCAGGAGACACAGGAAACAAGGGCCTTACTTACTTCTCCTCGGCATCAGGGCAGTGATGTCCAAACCCTCCAACCTCCCTTAAGCCCTGAACAATGACCCTGGTGGGTGATACCGAAGAGACAGCCGAGGCTGCCCCAGATGAGCTGGACCATGTCTAAAACCAAGCCTTGCATTGCCAGATGCAAGTCAAGACTGGTTGCAGTTGACAAGGACTTTTTAAAGATAGAGTTCCCCAGGGCCCAATAGATTTTGGTTCAGATGGCCCAGGGTGCTTGCCAGGAGGCTGCATGTTTTTTAAATCACCCATGTAATTTCCGATTCCCACAGAGATTGGGGAACTCTGGAATAGACAAAGGATGCAGTGAAAGATATCATTTTTAATCAAAATGACAAAGCTGACAACATGTATAGTCAAACGTCAATCATAACAAAAGTCCCCCATAACCTACTTTGAGAAGTCTTTTTAAAAACTACAAGGCATGCCATGTAATAGATATGCTAAAAGGAGATTGCACACTAATGCAAACGTACCTAACAGCACTGAACTTAAAAATGGTTAAGACGGTTTAACTTTCATGTTATGTGCATTAAACCACAATTTAAAAAATTTGATGTACAATATACACCAAACATACAAGATCAAAACCTACTCCTAAACATTGTCATCAGTTAGGCAGACATCTGGATAGAAACCGTCTCTTGCTTATAGCATCAAAACCTACTCCTAAACATTGTCATCAGTTAGGCAGACATCTGGATAGAAACCGTCTCTTGCTTATAGCATCAGGCAATCTCCACGATCATGAAATAACTAAAGTTGGGATGCAGTCAACCTTGATTTTGTGCAGTGAAAAGCAAACATTTGGGTGATCAGTGTATTTGGTGCTGAAGTAAGGAAGCAGGTCAAACACCTTCCTCCACACGAAGAAAACAAGAGAGGCAGACGAGCTGGACAAGGCCTTTCATCCGCACCAAAGCCAGCGGCGGGACAAATGGATTTTTCCCTGGGATCGTCACACTTTCTCAAAGGTGCCAGTCTCACATGTGACTTGCACCATGGGCAGTACTACACCTGGCCTATTCATTCACTGCAGTGTCGGGGCGCCCCACCTGCCCACAGGGATGGAGAACTCGGTTCATACTTCTGGAAGGCACATGCCTACTTAATAAGACAGCTATTAATAAATAGGTATTTGGAAACATCAGGTCAAGATTCAAGGTGCTATAGACCCACCCAAAGGCTCAGAAGAGGGACTTTGGTGGGGTCCACAGAACCCTGGAGCCCAGCATGCTTCACCCCAAGCCGCAGATCCTGTTCTATTCATGTGGCCACGATGCTGAATCAGCCTTCTGTTATTTATAGAGACAGGGTTACGTAATCCTCTGACATCAGCTGCACATGACCTCATTCAGAGAAGCTGCTGAGCTGGGCTTTCTGACTGGGGTCTACAGTAGTTGACCCCACACTAGCTTGGGGTGAGGATGACTGGGACACTGGGCTGGCTTCGACATGCCCCAAGCTCCGCGTGACTCAGTGATTCACTTCCCTGATCTGTGTCTCAGTTTCATGAGATCAGACATGGTGATTTCTCAAGTCCCTTCCAGCCCTGATCTGCCAGGGTCCAAGAAGGCAGCTGGGAGGAACTGGCCTGGAATGTCCCTTCGTTAAAATGTACACATGCTTCCTCTATGCTGCCTGCCCCCTGGGGCTCTGGGGCAGGCTGTAGTCAGCTCTCCCTGCGACCAGATGCTGGGCACTGTCCCAGCATTCTCTGGTCCTCCCCTCTGTGCCTCTCTCAACAGAAGGGAGAGGAGGTCCCTGGCCACGTGCCTTGGCATAAGGACTGGGACAGGGTGACACAGTAGGGTGGCCATTGCGGAGGGACATAGCAGTCCTCATACAGGACTTCGGCCTTGTCTGTGAGGTGGTGACCAAGGGGACAGACCTACTTACAACACAAAGTGAAACCAGGCATCTGAGAGAATGGACTGGAGATCTGACGGTCTCAGCAGGAAGATTGCGATGCCCTGCGGCCAGAAAGGAAAGAAAAGCTGCCCCTCTTCGTGCCCCTCACTGGAGGACCTGGGGAAGGGGGCATTTCCCCAGTACTGAGACTCAGGGACCAGGGGAATGTGTGAAGGCCCAACCAGAGCCCAAATGAGGGATGTGGAAAGGGACTGGTGCCTGGGGGACAGAGCCAACCCCAGGGTAAGAGTGGATGCTCCCCCCGATCTTCTTACATCTCTTACTTTCATCTCCATCGTCACTCCAGAACCCACAACACAGCAGGACCACATAGTTACCTGCCATTCCCCAAATACGGCCTAGCTTCCCAGCCTCTGAGCTTTTGTATGCGGCTCCCCACACCTGCCCTGTAACACCTTCTCCCTAGTGTCCTCATGCCAACCCCACCCTACCACAGTAAGTGACATCTCTACCTTCCAGCCTTTCTAACCTCCCCCATCCCCAAATAAAAGTCATCTCTCTTCTAAACACGGGTCTGGCCCCAACATCAGGCTCTTTTCACAGCCTATCTTACAGTCTTGGGTATTTGTGTCCATCTGAAATCTCTACCAGAGATTTTCATAGTCTATCTTATAGTCTTGGGTATTTGTGTCCATCTGAAATCTCTACCAGAGATCCTCACAGTCTATCTTACAGTCTTGGGTATTTGTGTCCATCTGAAATCTCTACCAGACGATAACCTCAAAGAGGGCAGACTCCCTCCATCCCTATCAGCTCCCCCAGGGCCCCACATGTTGAAGGTGTTCAGAATATACCTGCTGATTCATCAGTTGGATGGATGAATGGATCAATTGACAAACAGAAAGACAGTAGGATGAAGGATGGAAGGACAATAGGTGGGTGTTTGAATGATGAATGAGCAGTTGCATGGATGAGAGATGACAGGTGATTGGATGGATGGAGGGGAAGACGGGAGGGACAGTGAGTGGCTGGGAGTGCAGATAAATGGCAGAGAGATGGACAGATGGATGGAGGGATGGATTCATGAAGTAGGTAGGATAAGCCTGCTTATTTATATAAATCTAAAATTAAACAGGAAATGAGTTCCCAAAGTCCCCCAGCAGTAGTAGCTGACAGAGCTTGCTGCCCCCCGCTTGTCTCGCAGGCCAGACCAGGAGCGCTCAATGACCCACTCACCTCTTTCACAGAAATGAACATGGCCCAGATGAGCACAAACATCCTTCCTAAGAGCTGCAGCCACCCCATCTTGTGCGTGAGGGCCAAAGGGTGTGGCAGGGCCTATGGAGGAAGGGAGAGGAATGGATAGGTGCAGGGTGCGGAGTGAGGAAGGCAGGGGTAGTGCCCCCTCTGGGGCGACCATGCACATACACATGCCAGGCCCTCGAGCCGGACCAGAGGCCAGCAAGAAGCCTGTTCTCTGTAAGGGCCAGCGCAGAAGGGCAGCCCCCAGCCCCTGCCTACCCCACCCGCAGTGGGAACCCAGAATTCTACAGCGAGAAGCATGATTCAATCCATGCTAACAACTTCCTCATACCTCTTGGCATCTGCCTGTCCCATCCGTATCCGGACACTCACAGGGCCCCACCACACAGTCAAAGCCAAGACTCTGTGCCTCATGTGACTGGACAGGAAACTGAGTCTCAGATTGGTGGGAAAGTTTCTCCAAGTGACCTCCACCTCCTCGCATTTCCTCCCACAGCAGAAACACCCAATGAGCTCCAGATTGAGACCTGGAGCCTGGGCAGGGCCTGGGGCTCCTAATTCCCTGAGCCTCCCTCAGCAGGGGTCCGCCTGGGACTAAGCACTTGGGGTTGAACTCCACTCAGCGTTGGAGACACAGTCCATGTCCAAGACACTGTAAAGCATGACAATTGGGGGATCCCACGCAAATCTCTTAGCTTCTCTGGGCCTTGGTTTCCCCATATGCACGTGGGGTGGGTCCCATCTCCTGCAGCTCTAACCACCTCATCCCCCACTTCCAGGAGCCCAACACACCTCCTCCTCCCGGGGGCGGTAGTAAGAGACGAGGGTCAGGGTGATGTTGTAGAAGAAATAGAAGCAGAAGGATAGGAAGAACATGTACTTGGCGAACTTCTTCCACTTCATATGCAGCAGCGTGTGCAGGGGCTCCAGGGTCAACATCTCATGCCGGTTCTGGGCATAGAACAGCACCGGTCACCATGGCGATGAGAGGGAGGGAGGGACCATTTTCAAAGGGCCCTCATTTCAAAGAGAACTCTGAGTCAGCAGTGCCCCCGGCAGAAGGGGCCAATGAACTGGTTTGGCTGGAAATGTTGGGAGGGTAATTTCCAGCTCTTGAGGCCCCAGTGCAACCAAGCATAGCCAAGCACCACAGGAGCCTGGTGCTTTTGGCAAGAGGATCTGACGCACAGTGGGGAGTGAGGGCTAGAAGTGGGGCCAGGGCCACGACTGGGGTTCTGGCCCCTCCTGGGCCCCCCTTCGCTGTGTGACCCTTGGAAAACCCTTGACCCTTTCTGGGCTCAGTCCTCCTCCATTAAACTTATTTCAATCCCTGCCCTACCAGTCAGGCTGCTGTGAGAGGCCAGGGAGACCCCAAGCAAGGCAGACTCTGGGAGGCATGAGTCTCGGTAAAACGTAGATGTGTTGCTTCTGTTCCCCCAAGAGCCAAAAACTTCCCACTGCTGACCCTTTCTTTTCTCCTTCAGCTTCACTGACCTCCCCACCTTGCCTCCTCCAGAAAGACCTCCCTGATTGCTCCAACTGTACACTCCCTGACCCCCATTTGAGGCCAAGTTTAGGGAAGAGGGGATTCTAAGCTCAACCAATAAGAGGAGTTGGGGGGAAACAAGATGGAGAAGATCTATACCCCCACCCCCACCCTGCCCAGGATTACGGGGCCAGGAGACCCCTCCACAGGGTCAGCTGGGAACAGGTGTCCCCAGCACCTGCCCCACCCACTGAAGCTAAGGAACGGGGGCAGCAGACACGTCCAGCGAGTAGCATGGGGTCTCCCAGGGCCCCTGGCCTGAGGCCCAGCCTGCCGCCCCCTGCCCTTCCCCAGCCCAGCCGGGAGACCCACGTCGATGTTGGTGTTGTAGACGATGATCTCCAGCACCGAGTTGTCGGTCGTGGTGTCCACGTTGGTGAGGTCATAGAGCGAGGATGACACGGGCCCGTATGCCCAGTCGGTGAACTTCCTGGACAGGCTCCGGAGCCGCTTGTCCTTGATCTCACGGCTGAGAATGTACTTCAGGATCTGGGGACAGGAAGAGGAACAACTGTCAGCCAGTGGACAGGGCCCAGGGCCAGCACAGCTGGGCCCCCCACCCCCACAACAGACAGGGCCTGGGAAGAGTCTCCCATGAGAGCCTGGCTGAGTGCCTGTTGCTGTGACCCCGGGGCCCCGCTTTATCTGTGGAATGAGCACAAGGCTTGCTGACCTGCACATTGCACCAGAGACTGTGAATACCAGAGGCAAAGGGGTGAAGGCTCTTTGCAGACTTCAGAGAGTTGCACAATCAGCTCACAGATCCTTCCACCAACTGGGGAGTCTGTTCAGGGAAGAATCTAGGAACTGACCATTTTGAGAAGCAATTTCTGTTTGACCTGAACTTGAGTTAGAAGTTTCTCCAGCTTTCAGATCCCACTCCTCGTCAAGACCCTGCCAGCTGAGGCTCACTACTCTGGCCAGTCAGGGAGTGATGCAAGACACCAACCTTGGGAATTCCTGGGCAATCTAGTGTTTAAGACTCTGAGCTTCCAACACAGGGGCATGGGTTTGATCCCTGGTCAGGGAACTAAGAGCCCACATGCCGCATGGCACAGTCAAAAGAAGATTAAAAAATTGAATTTTTTTGAAAAATTAAGAAGCAGCAGGGCTTCCCTGGTGGCTCAGACAGTAAAAGAATCTGCCTGCAATTCAGGAGGTTCGATCCCTGGGTCGGAAGATCCCTCAAAGAAGGGTATAGCTGCCCACTCCAGTATTCTTGCCTGGAGAATTCCATGCACAGAGAGCCTGGTGGGCTACAGTCCACAGGGTCGCAGAGTCAGATATGACTGAGCAACTAACACACAAGAAGCCAGCAGGCTTTTTCAGAGAGACTCGTGAAACCTAGGTCAGCGAGCTTCGCTCTCTGCTGAATGTTAGAGTTACTGGGTCACATTTAAAATCCCCACACCACCAACTAATTCAATCCAGATCTCTGAGGGTGGGGACACCCAGTCAGCTGCATGTTGTAAAGCTTCCTGGATGGTCCCAAAGTGCAGGCGAGATGGAGAGCTTACTAGTTCCCCAAAGCGAGCCCTGTGGACCACCAGATGTGGCAGGAATTCCTGGGGCACCAACCCAAGGCCCCGGAAGAGAGTCCTGATGGGGAAGACAATGTCAGGGCCCTGATCTCACATGACCCAATGGGATTCCCACGTCATCTCACACGAGAACCTAGTCTCTACAGACCAGGCGAGGAGCTTCTGGGGAGAGGGCTCATCTCCCCTTCCTGCACCCCAGCCTAGAAGAATCCAAGGACAGGGACTGTGTCCTAAGCATGTCCTAAGCATCTCTATTCCCAGCGCAGTGACCAACTTGAGCAGCATCCAGAAAGATGTCCGAAGAACAGTGAGTGAAGGAGAGAAGGGGAACGGGAAGGGTGAGGGGGACTCCCCAAGACTGACAAGGAGTGGTTGGGGTACAAGGAAGGCATATTTTCCTTCAGGGAACCAGGGGGTCATGGGCCAGGCTGCATCCAGGAAGCTTCATCTTGGGCTCTCCCCAGGGACCTCACATGCCACAGCGGTCCTTGGAGAAAGTTCCAGCTTGGCAACCACAATGACCCTCCTCAAAGCCCCCAGGAAGCTGTGTCCTTGGGGTGAGCAGGAGACCGGTGAGGCAGGCATACACACAATTGCTCCTTTGTCCAAGTTGTTCTCCCTCCCCGCTCCTCCCGCAGAGAATGAAAAGGTCCCTTGTGGGCACCAGCCCTGAGCACTGGGACGGGACCCAAGGCCCTCGGGGCAGTGTCTCCCTCAGCAGCCGCCCTGAGGCTGGCACAGCTGTGTCACCAGGGCCGCTCAACAGCCCCTACCCCCCACCCCCACCCCCACGCAGCACCCCCTTGCAGCCTCCCCAGAGCCTTGGTCCCCTCCCAGGGCTCAAGATATGAAGGCAGAAGAGGCTCTGCTATGACCCCAGCCCCAACCTGAGTCCTGCCCTGGAAATCGGACCAAGCCACAGCTCCAGCCACTTGGAGAGACAAGAGCCCTCCCCAGCTAAGTCCTCACCAAGGCTCCCAGTTAACCTGAGTTCCTTGGCCCACATCTCAAGGGCACTAATGGCCACCAGCCACCACGTCCTCCACTGGGGACTTGGCTCCATGTTTCAACCGGCCAGACAGGCTGGGTGTCCCCAGAGTTGGGAGCAGCAGCACATTAGCTCTGTATCCAGAGCAGACATTCTGGGCCTCCTGTCCTCACAAGAGGCTGAAGGCTCCGAGGGTCAGACACTCAGCCTCCGCGTGGGTGCCTCGCCACATAGGAATTCTTGGCCACAGAGCTTGCATCGCCGCAGGCCTAAGGCTCTGCCACCCTGCCCAGGTGACGGGGTCCCAGGATAGGAGACAGAAACCCGTAGAGTCAGGGCCTGAGGTCCTGAGGGTGGGCCCCCGAGCTGCCTGGCCAAGACTCTGTGTGCTTGGCCACTCAGAAGGGCCCCCGGGAGAGCGTGCCTGCTGCCCTCCCGCCTGCCCCAGCTCGAGCACCTCGGCCTTGCCCATCTTGGCGGCCAGCTGCAGGGGTGTGAGCCCGTCATTGTTGCGCGTGGTCTCTAGCTCCCAGGTGCCGCTCCTCAGCAGGATCATGTCGTACATGCGCTTGACAAAGTCGTTCTGCGTCTTGAAGTCCTCAGCCACGGTCACCAGGGCGTGGAGAATGTTGTTTCCCCGCGAGTCCTGCGAGGCGATGTCCGTCTGCTCGTTCTCCATCAGCATCTGCACAATCTCGGGCTGGTTGGTACAGGCTGCCAGCGCCAGGGGTGTCTCGCCTGGGGGAGGGGGGCACAGGGGCTCAGTTCTCTCCTGGACCAGATCTTGACTTATATCTTAGTCAAGATGTAAGATCCAAACCTTAGATCGCGGTGATTGCCAAGGTCTAGGACTGGGGCTTCTCCTGACCATCTCAGTGGGAATGGGAGTGGGAGACTGAAGTTGGATCATTGCTTCAACCTCCTAATGAGTCTCCCTGCTACCACCCTGGCCCTCTAACCCTATCCCCAGCACAGCCAGACTGATCCTGTTAACACAAAAGGCTTGCCTCACCCAGAACAAAAGCTTAGGTTCCAACAACAGCTTACAAGGCTCTACACCTTCTGACATCATCTCCTCCACGCCCTCCCTACTCACTCCCCTCCAGTCACAGAGGCCTTTTTCCTTTCCCCGCCCCCCTCCCCAGCACACACAGGTGCTTTTCTACTTCAGGGCCTTTGAACATTCTGTTCCCTCTGCCAGGTGTGCTGTTCCTTCTGCTGCATCACTTCCTCCCTCACTACCTCTGTCTTTGCTCAAACATCACCTGTTCAATGAATCACTGTAACTGCCCTGTTTAAAATTGAAACCCACCGCCTTCCTGCCCCGGAACTCTTGATCACCTTCCCTTGCTTCGCTTTGCCATGCTGTGCTCAGTCGTGTCCGACTCTTCTAGACTGCATGGGCTGTAGCCCACCAGGGTCCTCTGTCCATGGGATTCTCCAGGCGAGAATATTGGAGTGGGTTGCCATGTCCTCCTCCAGGGGAATCTTCTCCAGGGATTGAACCTGCATCTCCTGCATTGGCAGGTGGATTCTTTACCACTGAGCCCCCTGGGAAGCCCTCCCCTTGCCTTGCTGTTTATTTTTTTCAACAGCACTTATTATTTTCTAACCTATTACATACATTCTTAGTCATCATGTTTATTATTGATGGTCTCTCTCCCATCTAGAATGGCAGTTCCATGAGGGTAGAGATCTTGGTTCTGTTTACAGATATATTTCAAATATCTAGAACAATGCATGGTGTATATAGTAAATGACAAATGTTTATTGAGAAAAGAGAAGGCAAGTGACTCACAGATGGTCACACAGCAAAGCGGGGAACAGAATCAGGGCTGGACATCGGGTCTCATGCTGTTTCCCTGCCAGTCTCCAACCTGTCCGCTCTCCTCATCCCACCGACGGGATGAGATCCCATCCCATCCGACGAAGATTTCCCACCCAGGTCTGACCAGAGGCTGCCCAGACCCATCTAGTCCTGTAGACTGACTAGTCCTACAGGTTAAAATCAGTAATAATAATAAAAAACACCCAGAAGAGAAAACAGATCCATGGCCATCAGTCAGGCCCTTCTAGGAAGAGGAGTTAACTACAAAGTTGTACTTGGAAACTTTTTGGTGGGATGAAGCTCTTTGTTCCCTGTCCTGATCACAGTGGTAGTTACACAACTGTATGCATTTGTGGAAATGAACAGAACTCTACATTAAAATGAGTAACTTCATTGTATCTAAATTACATATTTTAAAAATTTTATTTTTCATCTGGGATAAGGCTTCCCTGGTGGCTCAGATGGTAGAGAATCTGCCTGCAAAGCAGGAGACCCAGGTTCCACCCTTAGGCTGGGAAGATCCCTTGGAGAAGGGAATGGCAACCCACTCCAGTATTCTTGCCTGGAGAATCCCTTGGACAGAGGAGTCTGGCGGGCTACAGTCCATGGGTCGCAGAGGGTTGGACACGACTGAACAACTTAACACAACACAGCCTAACCCCAATTGTCTTTGGACTCCCTAGAGTGTAGCCAGGGAATTTTCATCTTCTCACTTTTTACTCCCTGTTGCAGTCCTGAGAGGCACTAGACACAGGGAACAGAAGCCAGAGCTGATAGCCTGAATGCCTACATCGGCTCCTTGCTACACTGGAACAAGTCATTTCCCTTCTCAGAACCTGTCTCCTCTCCCATCAAATAGGGTTTAAACTGAGGTTCTCTCTTTGCCCTCCTTCCTGGTCCTGGTTCCCTGCAGAGGGCTGCTCAGGTGAATGGCTTTGTCCCCTCTAAGACCCCCAGGGGACACTTCTGGAATGCAGGCTCCCCATCTTCCCCACGACTCCGCGGCTTCCTCTCTGGTCCAGCCTGGTGGTCCCATTCGGATACATCAGCCCCTGCCGCCTCTCTGGTTACAGCTCTGTCCTCCAGGGTCCTCCCACACAACCCAGCAGGCAGAGGCTGGCAGTGGGGTCTCCAGCCCTCAGTCGGCTAGCGCCCTTCTTAGGGAAGGAGCCCCACCCCGCCCTCCACCCGCTCCCAAATCCCGGACCCTGGACCCCAGACCCTGGACCCCAGCCCAGGCGGGGGCGCACCCACCAAAATAGAAGCCTTCGTGCTGGTACTTGGGGTTGAAGAAGACCCCCTTGGCGTGGGCGTTGACGTCGGCCCCGGCCGCGATGAGCACCGCGGTGATATCTCCTTGTCGCCGCTCGATGGCAATGTTCAGCGCCGTCTGCCCTGTGGACCAGACAGGGTGCGTGAGGGGCACTCAGGGCTGAGACCCGGGGTGCCACACCCTCTCTGGCCGTTCCCCTCCCTAGCCTCTGTACCCTCCATGTTACCATGGAGAAATGCTAGCTGCCTGTCTGGTCGGTGTCGCCCAGCTACAAGAGTCCTAACTTCATTCTTTGCTTCATTCACTCTTGCCTGGAAGCAAGGATTATCCTTGGAGCATCTGTTCTGTGCTCCAATGGGGACACAACGGGACAGGACTATAGTTTTAATTCTTGTCCTCTGGAAGCTCACAGTCTCCCTGAGAATTAAGTGCTGTGATGGGGGCAGTACGTGGACTGTGGTACCCAGAGGTGCTCTTAACACAACCTGGAGGACTGGGGTGCTTCCCAGAAGTGGCCTCTCAGCTGGGATCAGGATCAGCCTGTAGCCAGGCTGAATGGGACCGACTCAAAGCCTCTTAACTCAGGAATAAGAGGTTAGAACTTCAGGGCCTTCACCAGTGGTCTGGTGGCTGACTCCATGCTACCAGTGCAGGGGACTGGGGTTTAATCCCTGGTCAGGGGACTAGATCCCAAATGCTGCGACTAAGACCTCAGGCAGTCAAATAAATAAATATTACATGTTTTTTTAAAAAGAGGTTAGAACTTTATCTTAAAGGCTACAGGAAGGCATAGGAGGCACTGAAGCAGGGACGTGACATGGCCAAAGTTTGGGGTTTTGTTCATATGTGTTTCAGATCACTCTGGCTGCAAAATTGGAAGATGCATTAAAAGGAGCCCAGACATGTGAAGAGCTGTCCATCCGGTGCACCCAAAGATCCTTAGGAGGAAGAGTCTTCAGGAAGGTCTGTGGGGTTTGGAGGAGGCGTGCCTCAGGCAAGATCCAGGCATCTAGCCTGGGTGCTGGGTGCACAGTGCCCTGATGACTAAGAAAGAGAACAGGGGAGAAGAAGCAAGGCGGGGCAGGGGGCACTGACCCTGCTTGTGGAGCCTAGAGAACCTCCAGACAGAGGGGACCAGAAGCCTGGGGGGTGGGGAGGTCTCAGAGCTTTCTAGCAGAAATAGCATTTTCCAAAGAGCTGCCATCATGCCATACATAAAAGTAAAGCCTGGTGGATTAAAAAACTAAGCATTTTTAAAAACTGGTAAATTGTTTTTAAACTAAACTTTATTTATTTTAATTGGAGGATAATTACTTTACAATATTGTGATTTTTGCAGGGAAAACCTTCTTAAGCAAAATCCAAAATGCAGAAACCATAAAGGAAAAAACTGACATATTTGCTTACCTAAAAATTAAACACATTTGTTTGTATAAAAATTAAACATATGGGAGGGGGACCGGGATGGGGAATACATGTAAATCCATGGCTAATTCATTTCAATGTATGACAAAAACCACTGCAATGATGTAAAGTAATTAGCCTCCAACTAATAAAAATAAATGGAAAAAAAAAATTAAACACATTTCTGTGTTTCAAAAGACATCTTAAAGAAAGTGAAACAAGTGATAGACTAGAGGAAATATTTGAGATGTATAAAAGTGTCAATGTGTTTTTAAGAGTCCATAATGAATTAAGAGCTGCTAGAAATCAATAAAAAGACAAGCAGCCTAAAAGAAAACTGAGAAAAGTTTATCTACAAGTACCTCACAGAGAAGAAAACACACATAGCCAATACAGAAAATGAAAGATATTTGGAATCGTGGTAATCAGGAAGATGAAATTTTGAACTTAATGATTTAACACTTTTCACCCACCAGACTGGCAAAAACCAATAATAGTAATTATAACACACACACACACACACACACACACATAAATAGATAAATATAAAAAAATTACTCTTTCCCATGAGAAAAGTTAAGTTCCCAAGCCAGATTCCCACCTGCAAAAACTGACATGTTTAGTACCCATGATATATCAGCAAAATGACATCCAGTTATTCTTGGACCAGTCATTTTTGTCACAAGCATATCATAAGATCCTAACAAGATGTCTATTGACTCCAAAAAATCAAAGACACACCTTACTGATCATTCACAATGGATTTCCTGAGCAGGAAACATCCCAAGTTTGGTCTCACTGACCCCTCTCCAGCCCACCTCAGAGAGAAGCCATAAAATCGAGACCCACATGGGGTTGTAATAGTGATAACGATGATTTGACTTCCCTAGTAGTCCAGTGGCTAAGACTTTATGCTCCCAGTTCAGGGGGCCTGGGTTCAATCCTTGGTGGGGGAACTAGACCCCACTTAGACCACAACTAAAGATCTCACATGCCACAACTAAATTTCCCATGTGCTGCAACTAAGACCAGGAGCAATAAAAATAAATTTTTTTTTAATGGAGTGTCTTATATTTTAGACATGGTGCCTATGACATATTTTTTTGAAAAAAATGATGATGATGATGATGACAATACTACTAGTTGCCATGTGTTAGCCCTGCCCAGCTCTCTAGCCTCATCTCCAGCCTTCTTGCCATCACTCAGCTGTGTCAAATTCAGTCCTATCTCGGGCTTTTGCCCTTGCTTTGTCCTGGATCCTTATCATGCTGGCTTCGGGTGCTCTCTGACTACCCGCACTAAAGTTGCCCATGCCCAATCACTTTTGATGACATTATCTTTCTTTTTTTTTCTTTAACTTTTCTTTTCATACATTTTCCATCAGTTTTGAAAGTACCTTATTTAGAGCCAACAAGCTGCATCTGTCTTGTTCAATCCTGTGCTCTGGAGCCAAAAGCACTGCCTGGGACATGGTCAGTGCTCAAGATTGTTTGTAGAATGAAGGAAGGTGCTGGGCACCATGTTAAGTGCTTTGGGCTTCAGAGACAGCAGTGCTTGTGTGTGGCATGATCCGCTCCCCCAAAGGCAAGTACCTTCATAGGCCTCCTCCGTGTACTCAGCGTTGATGAACCTGTCTAGGATGTCATTTTCCTCAGCAAAGGCAAGAAGGATCCGCACAATCTCCTTGGTGTTGGGGTTGATGTTTAACAAGGCCTTCATCAGGCAGGTCTTCCCCGTGTCCAAGGCCGTCAGCTTGTGCATGAGAAAGTCTGCAGGCAGGAGGGCAGAATGGAGCCGCAGTACAGTGGGGCCCCAGCTGCCCTTGGCCCTCCCAGCCCGGAGGAGGGGAGACTGGATTGTGGAGGCTGCAGCCCCAGACCGCAAGACCCTGCCCAGGCCCTCCACTGAGCTCCCTGCCCCAAGCTCCTCCCCTCCCTCTTTCCTGTCCAATTCTTCCTCCTCCAAGACCTTTTGCTCTTGGCCTTCTGCACCATCTCCCTGGTAGGGGGCAGTCCCACTGCTTGACTTCCCATTGTCCACCTCAGAAATCTCAAGCCCACCACCCCTCACCCTGGCTGCTTACACGTAGAGCTATCCACCTTCCTTTAACTCGCTACTTCCCTGGTCCCCAAGACGGCTCAGGCCCCACCAGCCACCAAGTCTCCCAAGTCCAAGTGGCATCACCCTGGATTCAGTCCTCACGTCTTTGAGTCCACGAAGAGCTGTTCTCCGTCTCCCAGGCCTGCTGCTGGGGTCCCAGCTCTGCCTGAACAGCGGCCTTCTCCGGATTTACCCCCATCCTCTGCCGAGTAGCCAGACCATGACCACCACCTGTCTAAGCCCTTCCATGGCTCCCCATTGCCCTCAGAATCAGGTTCAAAGTCGCCAGCCCAGCCTTTAAGGCTGAAGGGCAGGGTGAGGGGTGGAGGGATGGAAGGAGGTGGACGGCAGGGGCCGAGCAGGAGCCCCAGCCCTGAGCCCTGGGCCAGGGGCGGGCACTGACCAGGCACGTCCACTCTGCGGCGCCGCTTGCAAAGCTCCTGCAGCTCCCCCAGCAGCTCCAGCAGCTCCTCCACGCAGCCCTCCGACACCGCTGTGAAGATGCGTTTCTTCAGCCGCTTCTTTTTGCGCCTTTGCTCTTCCTTGGCCAGGTTTGCGCTGAGGCCAGAAAATGTTTCCAGCTCACCACACATGCATCACCCCTCTGCAGGATCTCACCTTCCTCTGATAGAGCCACTGTGCTCACAGGCTGTGCCTACAGGGCGTTGCCCCAGCCTTTACATCTGCACATGCCCATCACAATACCTGACATCCCCTCCCTTAGTGCTGGGGGAAGGGGGAGGGGGATTTGTGTGCTGCTCCCCTTCTAATCTAAAGGCAATCACGTTTTAGCAAACAGTATCTCTAGTTCCACATAGTAATGATCCAGAAAGATAGCACCTAACCATTCATTGTGATGACCTCGAAAGCACGAGATCACAGAAAGAGAAATTGCACTTCCATATTTTGTGTTGTTTGAATGTTTTTAATATATTCAAATATCTCTCTCTCTACCCCCACACTCAAAATGGAAACACTGCTGTAGAAACACATTGCTGCATAATCCTTCCCTGTGTGTGTGTTCTTGCAAAACGCGCATTGATGTTTGATGGTTGCATGCATATATTTTTAGTTTAAGTATATGGCATTGTATTAAGTTCTCATTCTGTTGCATGCTGTTATTCTGGTGTTTTATGATGAATGGCTATTACTTTTATAAAATATAATATTCCCTCCCTCCCCCCAAAAAATGACCTACATGCCACTGCCATGGGCCCAGACATTTGTCGCAGCACCCAACAGTGGCGGCCTCTTTCTTCTGCAGAATCCTGGTGCCTGCCCTCCTAGCACTGCCTGGGGGCACAGTGGGAGGAGGGGGAGGGCCCGGCTCACCTGGGACTGTTGGGATTGGACGGGGTCTCTGTCACGTCATCCTGAGGAGATTGTGGGGAATCCATGTCATCACAGTTGCCAGAGACACTGGAAGAGAGTGGGGAGGGACCAGTTTTTAAATGGGCAGTGGTAGTATGCCACAGCCAGGCCTGACTGTGTGGCCCAGGGCAAGTCCCTGCCTGCCCGCTGGAGCCCAGGGCTGGAGCACTCACCATTGCCGGATGTTGGAGTCCATGGGCTTGGAGAAGATGGGGGGAGAGGTCTTGGCCACCGTGGGGTTGGGCTCGAACCCTTCTATCTCCAGGAAGAAGTGTGCACTGGCGGGGGACACCCAAACAAGCCCATTAGAGCTAGGGCAGGGCTTGTTCACCTGTTATGTCCTGCAGCTCCGCTGCCAAGGGTGCCCACCTCGCTAAGTGCTCGCTCCCAGTTAGGCCCAGACCCAAGCCTGGAAGGCTCAGAGCTAGTCCAGAAATGGGGCATAAACGACGTGAGGGCAGGGCTCACTGAAACATTGGCCCCCACCTTCCTGTCTCCTGCCCATCAAAAGGAACCTTCTGACTTGACCTAAAATCAAATCATTCTTCCAAAAGAGAGGAGCAAACCCCTAGCTGAGGGCCTAAGGCCAGGGTTCTAGGCTGCCTCTGCCTCTCCAGTTGTGTGACCCCAGGTAGTCACTCACTTTCTCTGGGTCAAGTGTCTTCACCTACAGAGACTGGGCTAGATGCTCCCTAAGGCCTGGACTCAGGAGCTGCGCTGTTCCAGAACTGTCTCCTTATGGACCGTCCACCTGAAGTGGGCATCAGAGACCATCCTATGCAATCGATCACCTTTCTCTGCACCTCTGCAGTCCCCCAGAACTGTCACCCCAAAGTTTTCCCCACACCACTATGGTAGCTATGACCCAGCCACTACAGACACATCCACTAGCAGCTCAGTCCCAAAACATCCTGGCTGAGATGTGCTAACTGTCTCCAGGCAGAGCCTGATGACCCTCACACCAGCAGCTCTTTCCCCAATTGATCCAGCCTCTGCCCTATCCTCCATCCCACCTTACCTCTCTGAGCTCAGTGGTGCATTTACTAACAAACATTTACACATACAATGTGCCAAGCACTATTTTAGAAGCTGGGGAACACTGTGATGAACAAGTAGACAAAAATGCCTTCCCTTGCAAAGCTCCTGTTCCAGTGGGTTGGTAAGAAGAGACCAGGTTATAGCACAGTGAAGCCATTGCTTTCCTAGCTCTAGACAACAACACACTGTCTTTCGGCTGTAAGTTCTTCAGTGGCGGGAACTACAGTTGCAGCATCCCAAGTCTCTAGAACCCAACCCTGATCGTGACACTCAGAAGACCTAACAATGGATGAGTATAAGGATGGATAGGTGAAAGATAAATGCATAGAAAAAAGAATGACTGGTTGGACAGATGAGTGGATGGTTAAATAGGTAGGTAGATGACAGATAGTGGGAAGGATGAATGGATGGATGGATGGATGAGGAATGAATACTTGGCTGGATAAATGGGTGGACAGATGGAGAGACCAATAAGGAAACAGACCAACACAACCTTAAACTGTAAACTGTGGGAGGTTGCTTCCCTCGACAGGAAGATGAAGGCTGTGACTGAGAAAGGAGGTCTTCAATGTCTGGGAAGGAGGATGATGAGAGTTGAGCTGGAAGGGACCCAGTTGTGGGTCAGGAGCTAACTCCTGGGACGGCCTGTCCCACACCTGCCCTGCCTGCCCCTGCACGTGCCGTATCTCATCCACCAGCGAGAGCAGACGTCAAGGTCTTGGCCAGGTGACATCCTGGCTCCTGACCTGTAGCAGGTGCTCTTTGTTTACTCCATCTTTGACCCAGCCCAAAAGGAACCACCGCCCGTGTGTCGTTAACACAGGTAGGCAGACAGCCCTGCATCCTTTCTCCTGCATTTCTGTTCCTTTGAAGGCAGAGAACGATCCCTAGGCAACCCCTGGGCTGGGGAGGAACTGCTCTCTCCTACTTTGTCCCACGGAGAGCCCAAGGGCTCTGAGCTTCAGGGCCAGCGCCTCTACAGCCTTTGGCCTGGGCCTGTATCCCTGGGCAAGGCGAGGCCCAGGGACAGGGGCCCCAGCAGCCTCTCACAGAGAGGGGCATGATGCTTCAGGAAAAGCTCCAGGTCCAAAAATTTCCCTCAAATCTGGAGTTTTGGGTGCCTCCAATTTCACCATTAGTACATAATTCCTTAGCAGTCAGAACTGCCATCTTTATTTATAAATAATATTTAATTTTTTCTTTGTAAACCTGAGTCCTATACTCAGTTCTGAGGGAGATGCCTGAATCTTTGGGGTCTGGGGAGAAGTAGGCATGTGAGGGCCCTCAAAAAGCCTTGGGAAGGAGAAGGGATCACCTATTCAGAAGACCAAGGTCACACCTCACACCAGGCCCTTGGCTGGGCAGGGAGCATGGGCAGAGCTAACCCTGGAACTAAGTTCATGAACCAGGCTGAGCCCAGAAGGGCAGCCTGACTGCATGAAGAATCTGGGATTTTCCTAGAACGCTGTCCTCAGTCCTTCTCTGAGGTCCAAACCTCCCCTGGGAAAGTGAGAGGGAAGGGAAGAGGGAAGGGAGGCAGGAAGCTTAGTTCAAAGATATCTCTGCTCTAGGACTTCCCTGGTGGTCCAGAGGTTAAGACTCTGTGCTTAATGCAGGGGATGGGTGTTCGATCCCTGATTGGGGAACCGAGATCCCATTTGCCATGAGGAAAAAAAAAAACAAAACCCAGATATCTCTGCTTCTACTCAGGCAAGCCTCTCCAGAAACAGGCTTCCCCCACAGGCCTCTGACACCTGTCTGATCTCTATGTCCACCCAGTCTTCTCTCCTATGCTCCAGATTGAAGCTTCTACCTGAATGTGCCTCTAGTATCTCTCAGCCAACATTTCACACCTGAACTTGGCTCTTTCCTCCTGACCTTGCTCCTGCTCCTCTGAAGTACTGATGTCAGAGATAGCCCTGTCATCCATCTGGGTCCCCCCATCAGGATTAGTAATGTCTCTCAGTCCTCCTTCTCCCTCTCCTCCCATAGTTGATACTCCATGATGCTAATACCTCTTTGATCCCTATCTCCTTCACCATCTCTCACCACCAGGCTCACCACCTATCATCTAGGCAACAATCACAACAGACTCCCCTCTGATCCATCATCCCCACAGATCACCCAGAGTATCGTTACTGCTGCTGTAAGTTGCTTCAGTCGTGTCCGACTCGGTGTGACCTCATAGACAGCAGCCCACCAGGCTCCTCTGTCCCTGGGATTCTCCAGGCAAGAATACTGGAGTGCGTTGCCATTTCCTTCTCCAAGAGTATCATTTCCACAATGCAAATCTCGCCATGCCCTCCCTCTCACACAAAAGCCCTCCATAGCTCCCCACTGCCCCAAGATATCCAGTCTCAACTGACAGCCAAGACCCAGCCTCAGAGGGGCTCATCCCCCCCGCCTACCCAGCACTTTGACCACATGGGACTCCTCACTGGTTCCTGCCCCAAGCCCTGCCTGGGATGTTCTTTCCCTTCCTGTCCACCCACCGTCATCCACGGTAACACCAGCTCTTCTACAAAGTACCCACAGAATCAGAACACCCGCCCCTCCTTGGGCCCAGCCCACCCTCTCTCCAGGCCACTCCCCGCATTCTCGCTGGGGCCCCCTCACCATCCAGACTGTGAGCAGAGGTGGGTGTTCTTTCTCTCGTGTCCCAGTCTCGCCAGCCTGGGCCTAGTGCTCAAAAGACCTCAGCAATTATCACTCGAACCAACAGAAGGGAAAACACCAAACTCACCTCGGCCTAAGACGGGCCTGGGATGGGGTAAAGGAGGTGGGGCAAATAGGCCATGCTGGACCCAGGGCCCACCCGGGTCTAAGGGCAGCAGAGCTGGGGTGAGGGAGGGCGCTCAGGTTGAAAGTGAGAGTGTCAGTGGCTCAGTCGTGTCTGACTCTTTGCAACCCCATGGACTGTAGCCGGCCAGCCTCCTCTCAGCATGGGACTCTCCAGGCAACAATACTGGAGTGGGTCGCCATGCCCTCCTCCAGGGGATCTTCCTGACCCACGGATCAAACCCAGGTCTCCCATACTGCAGGCGGATTCTTTACCGGCTGAGCTACCAGGGAAGCCCAAGAATACTGGAGTGGGTTGCCATGCCCTTCTCCACAGGATCTTCCTGACCCAGGGATCAAATCCTGGTCTCCCACATTGCAAGCAGATTCTTTACTGTCTGAGCCACTACTCAGGCTGAAGGGCACCAAGTCTGCTGAGGGGGTGGGGGGACTGCAATGGGGGCAGCTCAGGGGCCAGCTACGACCCCAGAAAAGTACTTTGTCTGCTCCCACCTCTTCCGTGTTCTCACCTGGGAAGTGATCATAACTGTCCCAGTCCTGCCCCATTCCCAGGGGCCCTGGGGAGTGACAATGACAATAACGACAATGAAGACAAAGTTCAAGGCAATAAAACACCATCAGGCTAACAACTCTGCCATGCACCTTGTCAGCGCAATTGCAATTAACCATCACTCTATGGACTGGTGTCCCCCTTACACAGGTGGAGTTGGAGAGCTTGAATTACCTGGCTGGGCACCTAGTGGTTATGAAAGCCCCCCAGTGGACATGGAAAATGTACCCAGGAGGGAGCCCCTGCTAATCTGGAATTTCCACCCACTTTTCAGCTCCTTGTCTCAAGATGACTTCCAGCAACTCCCTGCCTCCCCAGAAGCCTCTCTGAATGTTTCTGCCTCGGTGCCCCAGTCCCTCCAGTTGTACTGACCTCTCCAGCTCAGCCCCAGAGTGTGCAGGGCTCCCCCCTACACACACATACATCCCCACTTATACCTGGCTGGGCACCAGGGCACCCCAGATGAGAATGGAGTCTCAGGTCCACCCCCAGCAAAGGCTCCCTGAAGTGGGTGCCAGGCCCCTCCCGTGCCTCTCACCGCAGCACCCAGGCCCAAACCTATTGGCCCTACCTCTTCTTGGTGGGGGTGATCTCTGACGGCCTCTTCTCCTGCAGGATGGCAGGGTTCACAAAGGGGATGGTGGCTCTTCTGCCCATGAGGGGCACCATCTCCTTGGGGTGGGTGTTCATGGCTGGAACACAATTGCAGTGCAGATGCTCAGATTGAGGGGACAGGGAGGAGCTTCAGGGGGGTTTTCAGACCAGGTGGCCCCTGTTCATACCTGCTAGGATGGGGAGCTCGTTCTATCTTTCCAGGCTGCCAACCCTGTATAGGTTTGATGTCCCTGGTGGCTCAGATGGTAAAGAGTCTGCCTGCAGTGCAGGAGACCCAGGTTTGATCCCTGGATCAGGAAGAGGCCCTGGAGAAGGGTATGGCAACCCACTTCAGTATTCTTGCCTGGGAAATCCCATAGATGGAGGAGCCTGGCGGGCTACAGTCCATGGGGTCACAAACAGTCGGATACGACTGAATGACTAACACAACAGTGCATAGACTGTCCCTGCAGTTTCTCTTGCTCACTGCTTCAGCACCCCTGCTCCTGAGGGTCCTAGGAGAGCCCATCAGAGCTTCCAGGTAGAGACCACCATGCCCTTGACCTCTCTCCAGTCATCTGCCCCAGCCCAACCCATCTCCAGGGAGATTCCTGAGAATTAACTCTGCTTTTTAAGTGTCTCAGGATCTGTGTTCAGAATGCTCCTTGACAGAGCAGGGCAGTTACCTCCTTTGTTCTAGACACGATGCTGCTAGTAACACAGCCCAGATCTCTCTAGTCTTTTAATTTCTCATACCCCTGGTGCTCTCTTTTGCTAACACGGAGAGCATCTTTCTCCCCTACCCAAAGCTGAGTGTAACCAGCCTCGTGGCTATCTGTCCATTGGAGGGAGCAGCTGAGCCTCACCCTGCTCAGCATTGACCTGTCTTACTGATGCTCATAGGGGCTGGACCCTATGTTGGGGTGGAGGGAGTACTGGAAAGAAAAACTGATATGTCTTCCAAGGAAACTGAAAGGAACTTAGAGGTTTCTGTGTGGCGGGGGAGGACTGTCCAGGCAGAGGGGATAGCCTGAGCAAAGACCAGGGGTCAAGAAAGTTCAACAGGGGCAAGGAGCTGGTGTGACTGGACCCGTGGGCAGTAAGAGGCTCGAGAGCGTGTTGGGCCTGGAACAGCAGTAGGAATGTGGCTGAACCTGAGGGCGGGGGGACGTGAGAGGGATCTGGGTCCTGTAGGAGACAGTGAGCGGGAGATAGAGGAGACCAGAGGTCAGGGGGAGGCTCCCGCAGGGGCCAGCTGGATGGGGATGGTGGGCTGGCCATAGAGGAAGAGGCAGACGGGAAAGGACAGGAGGTGACTCTGCAGTTAGCTTGAGCCACCCTCAGAGACATGGAGAGGCCAGAGCGGGTGATTTCTTTAAGAAGAGCCCATCTGGGTGGAGGGGGGCCATTGGTGATCCTGACCCACATAGGAGAGCTCTCTGGAGGAGGCATCTGGATTGTGTTGTGTTCAGACTGTGTGTATTAGTGTTAGTCGCTCAATCACGTCCAACTCTTTACAGTCCCATGAATGTAGCCCACCAGGCTCCTCTGTCCATGGAATTCTCCAGGCAGGAATATTGCAGTGGGTTACCATTCCCTTCTCCAGGGGATCTTCCCAACCCAGGCATGGAACCCAGTTTTCCTGCACTGTAGGCAGATTCTTTACCGTCTGAGCCACCAAGGAAGCCTGATACATAGAATTACACTATTACAATGATTTTATGTTGTATTTTTAGTCATATACATTGGAGGCCTGGTTACAGACTGGGTATTGTAAGAGACCACAACCTTATAAATTAGACAAGATATCAGTAATGGATCTAGTGACACTGACAAAGACATAGAGCAGCAGAGAGGCACAAGGTGCAAACAAATTTGAAAACAAATTAAAACAGCGATTAATCAGTTTAAGAGTAAGATCTTCCTTACCCCTGGAAAACAGATTTAAACCAGTATTTTTTAAGACAGAAACCATAAAATTATAACCACATCTACCAGTTCACTCAGTCCCCTGTAATTCATCCTTTTCATTAACAACTTTATGAAGCCATCAGGTTTCCCATTAGAATTACTTGCACTGCTCCAAAAGTCCCTTTTATAAATCTTCTTGAAGGGGAGGCATTTTTGCAGAGGCATCAGAGTGAAACCATAGCTATCTAAAATGGCAGAAAGACTTAAGAAGGCACGTTTAAAGCAACCAGGTTAGTGCTGATGCAGATATTCTAGAGATTATATGGAATTCTGATATGTCCTGGTAAAGCGTTCAGTCCTAATTCTAGTTATTATCTGAAAGTGCTGTGCATCGCCCCAGTAACCTGGTTCAGGCTGTAGCCAGGTTTAGAAATGAGAGAGCCTCATTACTGCCCCACCCCTCAACCACACATGAGCAGCCCTGGGAGAGGAGAGGCATGGGGGGCGGCGGGGGCAGGGGGCATCAGCTCTGGAGTGCAGGCACCTTGAGGCAGGGAGCTCCAAGGGGGGGCCTCAGGCATTCCATTCAGAGAGACCCGTCAGCACCAGGTCCCCGGCCAGATCCACAGTCATACCACCTCCGTCAGCCCAAGGCGACCTGTGGACAGATGGGGCTAAAGGCTGGGCTGGGCCAACCCTGGAAGAGAGGAATGGAGGGCAAGTCCCTTATCCCTCCCTGAGACTGTTTTCCCTTCTGAGAAATGGGCTAAAGGGTCTCCTATGTCTCTGGCCGCTCCGCCTTCTCTGCCCTGGCCAGTGAGTGTAGGGCCGTCCCTGCCCGAGCAGGAGAGGGTCGGGAGAACTGAGGCTGGGGAGACTGCAGCCGCTGTAATTAACTGTCTGAGTCACCTCGCAGACCGGTGTTCTCACTTGCTGGACTCTCTCACGGGCCTGGCCCTCCCTGTCTCGGGCATGGGCCTCACCACCTGAGAAGTGCCTCCCGAGCCCCAGCACAGTCTGGAATGGCCTTTCCTGGGAGATGGCGCAGGCCCAGGGCCACAGGGCCCACCTCCATCCAGGGCTTGCTGGCTCAGCCCTTATGAGACACCTGGGCCCCATCCCTCTCAGGCTCTGGGCCTTCTCATCCCATCCTGAGATCCCAGCACACTGCTGCCCTAGAGTTCACATCCCCAGGGCCTGTTAGGGGTGTCAAGAGCCTCACTTCTGCCCTGGGCAGCTATGAGTTTCCTCCCTCCCTGAGACCCCAGAACCGGCGAAAGGTGCCCACTTCCATCAGAGCCTGTGCTCTTACACACTCCCAGTGGCCAAGAGCTCACATCCAACTTTGCCTCCCCTGCTAGAGGCCCAAGCTTTCTCCCAGTCCCAGCTGAGACCAATCAGCAAAGGCCAGGCATGGCCCAGAGGGACCCCTGAGGTCCTCGCCCTGGGCCCCCCGGGACCTTGGAGAGCACTCGATACCTGTGCGGCAAAGACTCATCTGGTGAAGTCCAGGTGTGGCAGTGGCTGCCTTGTTCTCAGATCACCGCATGTCCGGGGCCCGGGGCCCCTCGGCGGGACTACAGCCGAGGTGGCGAGAGGCTCTCATCGTAGTCAGAGGGATGGCTGGAATGAGGTGTCAGAGGCAGAACTGGCTGGGTCACCTGCTCTTGGTGCCAGGCAGGCCACGCCCACCAGCCACAGCTACAGCGCCAGCCCACCGCCCACGTGCACAGCCTGAGTCACCCCCACGCCCACAGGGCAGCCTCACCCCAACCCAGGAGAAGACAGGGAGATGGCAGGTACCAAGACTAAGGGTCTGGTCCAACTCTTCTCTGGTATTTGTTGCCTCACATCACGACCCTCATCACATTTACTTCGCAAGGATGCTGTGAGAAGTCAGAGATCCTGCTGGTAGGAAGGCCAAACGAACTGAGTGCTCAGGGTCAACCTGGGAGGCAAGGCCACCACCAAGGGCTGGCCCATTGACCCCACAGTGGCCACCTCCAAGGCTTGGTTTCCATCCTTCAAAACCTGGAATCAAGTCCCCTTGGAGACAGTCTCCATTCAATGCTTCCCAGCGGAAATTATGCACCACAGACCTGGGTGTCAGACAGCTTCACCCCTAGACTGTATGACCTTGGATAAGTCATTTCTCATGAGACTCCATTTCTCCATTGTGAAATGTGCATGATAAACCTACCTTGCAGAGGTACCACAGGGCTTACATGCAACAACACATAGAAAGGGCTAGAACAAGGACCAGAGCACAGAAAGAACTCTATAAACAATGACAGCTATGAACTGTTACTATTTTATTCTGCATTCAACTGCCAGGCCACCTGTTTCCAAGGCCGGAGCATCAGGGTAGACTCTGAGCCCTCCCTCCTCGCCCAGGCCACAGCTGTGAAGAGGGTGGAGCAGGGCTGGGACAGCCCTGACGGTCTCTGCATCACTCAGGAATTACACACCTGTTCCCATAGGCGAGACAGGACTGGAATGGAGCAGGAAGTCTCTACTGACAGGGATGGCACCGGTGACCCATGTGGCAGAGACTTCCTTGGGTGCCATGGGAACAAGGCCCTCCATCTTTCATCAACACAGCCTGCCAGACCTGGGCAGAGGCAGGAGGCAGGTCAAGATTCTGACCATGGGACAGCAGGACCTGTGGCCAGTAAGACACAGAAAACCTGGATCCGTGGCTGACAAGCTTCAGGTGTGAGTGAAGAGGGGGCCGCTTCTTCAGTTTAAGTCAAGGGTGACCCAGTGGTAAAGAATCTGCCTACTAATGCAGGAGACACAAGAGACACTGGTTTGATTCCTGGGTCAGGAAAATCCCCTGGAGTAGGAAATGGCAACTAACTCCAGTATTCTTGCCTGGAAAACTCCAAGGACAGAGGACATGGTGTGCTACAGTCTAAGGGGTTACAAGGAGTCAGACAAAATTGAGCAAATGCACGCACACGCGTACACACACACGTGAGCACACAGCCCAGGCACACATCCTAACTACATCACTCCCTGAAACTCCATTAAAGCCCCATCTTAGATCAAACACAGTCTGTTCTCTATTACTCCAGTAATTGCCCCTCCTGACTCAGCCCCCACCCCTCCCAGCTTGTTCCTCCATGACTGCTTCCGAGCCCTAAGGGTGAAGCTGTTGCCCAACTGCCGTATTTGCATTTTGCCATGTGTGTTAGCACATGTTCTCAAAGACCAGCCTGGCTAAAATGGCCCCTACCTCCCTCCCAAAGGCAAGCAGTGTGCCCAGCACGGAGAAAGGGGAGCCCCCTCTGCTGTGTGTGGAGCAGTGGCTGGTCTGCATTCAATCCCATTTAATCCAACACATCATGGGAGCCCACAGTGGGAGGCCAGGCAGGAAGCCAGGGCCCAGTGAAGGGTTCAGAACTGGGGAAAGTGGTCTCCGCCCTCAAGGACACGTGAGCCACAAGGCAGCCAGGCTCAGGTAGGAAACCTAACCCCACCAAACAGGTTGGAGGACAAAGAGGACGCAGGCTACCCAGGAGGAGTAAGCGCCTCTAATGGGGGCTGCGGGAGGGATTCAGTGAAGAATTTTTGGGTTGGACTTGGAAGGAGGGAGTGATAGGGACAGAGTAAAAGGACAAAGTAGGTGATTAAATCACTTCCCTGGTGGCACAGTGGTAAAGAATCTGCCTGCCAATGCAGGAGACTCGAGAGATGTGGGTTCGATCCCTGGGTTGGGAAGATACCCTGGAGGAGGACATGGCAGTGTGATTAATGATTAATCACGTGTGATTAAATAGTTAATCCCACTAGGGGACTGTAGGTAGAAAAAATATGGGAGACCCCTGTAAGTCAATGATTACTCAAGAAAGGTTTGCTTAACCACAAAACCGAGCAGGCTTGCTTAGCAACAAGACCATGCAACAGAAGCACGAGACATTTCCCCAGACAATAAGATAATGGTGGCATGAGCCCCACATCCTGCCCACTGAGCTCAGTAAGTTCGTGATTCCTAGGACAAGCTCTCTGTACACATAGAAAACAGTAATTTGTGGGCCTAGCTTGACCATGTAGGAACAAGAAAATTCCCCTGCTCAACCTGGAGGAGGAGCTGATGATGGAAGCATGATGTCTACTCAAGAAAGACAAAGACGTTCTTCTCCTCCTCCCTACTTTTCCTTTGATTATAAAACTGTAGCCCACTAAGGTCTCGGGGCATGGCATCTCTCGCCTACCAGTTTGTAAACCTCAGAAGCCTCCTATTCTAATAAATCACTTCTTATCTATCACTTTGCCTCTAGCTGAAATCTTTTCTGTGCTGAGACATAAAGGACCATGGTACTGAAACGACACCTAATGGTGTCAGGACAGTCTAAATGGGAAGAGTCATGGAGCAGAGACTTGGAGGTAAGAGACTTGGGCACATTCAAGGAGTGGTGACAACCTTGGGGAACGTCTAAACTCAGGGGCATCAGAGATGCTCTGTCAAGCCTGGCTTCAGCCACAGAGTGGCCCCACGGCACTGAGTCAGCCCTGACCCCTGAGGGGGACACACCAGGTGGGTGTTGAGCAGACTCCTCTCCTCCCCACATCTTCCAAGCCCTGCAGACATCAGGCCCAGGCTGTGGGCTCGCAAGTATCCCCTTCTCTAGGAAAAAGAAGTGAGGAGGGGATCTCTGTGGGGTAGGTGCAGCCAGGGAGAGACAGACTTCTTGGCCTGTTCTGGGAAATGCCCCACTTGGTGCAGAGAGGAGGGAGAGGGGGATCAGGAGCCAAGGAGACCTCCATCAGCAGCCTCAGGCCTGAGCGGACCCATCTGAAGGTCAGTAGAGGGTCTGTCTGTGTCCTGGCTGCCACAACTGTCCCTGGGCTAGCAGAGCTGAGCAGCCTGCCCGTGGGGGATTCTGGGTGGTGACTCATGACTCATGACTCCCCTGATGGAGAGCAGGGGACATGGGAATAGAGAGAGAGATCAAGAGACAGCAACAGATGCAAAAAGATCAGTCTGGTTGCAGGTGTGTCCTCCTTTAAACAATGCAAGTTCACACAAAAGGTTGTAATCATTCATTTTACAAAAGAGCACCTACAAGATCCCTCTAGAACTAAGTTTGAAAGTTGATCCAATTTGCAGAAATTTAAAAACATCTGACATCTACATGGTTTCTGAGGAAGGCCTACAAGTAAAGCAAGGATTCCCAAACTGAACCAGAAAGCAGAAGCCCGCACATCTCCCTTCCTACCCGGGGATAGGCTGGCATGCCCCAGCTGGTTCTCTGCCACTCAGCCTAGCATCACAGTCAAGTTTGAGCTTTGGAATCTGATTTGCCTGGGGTCAGACCCAGGCATTGCTGTTTACTGGCCATGTAATCTTACTAACAGTCCCAGCCTCAGTTTTCTCATCTATAAAATGGAGGTAATAATAAATCTTCATGGGCTGTTAGGAGGCTTAAAGGATAATGAACATGGAGCACTTTATATAAATACACCACAAGTTCTAGTCAGCAGTATTGCTCCACTGAGCTCATCTGCTGTGGTCTAGCCAAGTCTCACTTCACGCCCAGCCCCTTCATCAACCAGATCCAGGCTCCTCTACTGGGCTTGTGTGTGGAGGTGCACGTGCTGCTGCAGAATTTGGAGGAGGGTGACCCAGTGTTCCCTCTGGGTAGACCTCTCACAAAAGGACCAAAGCCTGGGCTCAGCTAATGTCATCCTTCATCTTGTGGACCAACACGCAACAAGTTCATGACTGGGCAGCTCATTCCACACTCCACAGACGTAACAGAACGCATTGGTGTCTGGGACAAGAGTGCTTTTCTAGATCATTCCTTCTTAAGTTCTAGTCCATAATACAAGGGTCCTCAAAATTTTCCAGAAAGGCCCAGCTTTGCAGCTATTTTCAGGCTATTAAGTCTCTTGCAACCGCTCAGCTCTGCATGTTGGCACAATGGCCAGAGATGGTATATAAATGAATGGCTGCATTGCTTGCTAATAAAAGTTTGTTTAAGAACTTCTCTGGTGCTCCAGTGGTTAAGACTCCATGTTTTCAAAGCAAGGAATATGGGTTTGATCCCTGGTCAGGGAACTAGGGTCCCACATGCTGCAGGGCACTGGCCAAAAAAATTTTTTTAAAAGGTTTACTGAAACAGATGGAAGGCCCAATTTGGCCCATGGCCCACAGTTTACTAACTATGGTAGGAGGAGTGCCCTCACCCAGAGGTAACAACTAAAGCATGACCAGAGGCTCCTAGACATACAGGGTTGCACATGCATGCACATGGGTACACACACATGCACACACAGACAACATGGAACCAAAGAGCTACACTGGCCCAATGACTGACACGAAGTTCACACTTGATATGACATATATGTTTATTAATGCATTTATTTGATGGATGGCAAATTGAGTGGAGAATGAAATAGGTACCACTGCAGGCAAGCAGGGACTATGGCCACTATAGATGGTAGATTAGTAAAAAAAAAATTCTTGCCACATGGTCCTATACTTTTAGTTGA